CCAAATGGATCAAAGACCTCAAAGTAAAAGCAGACACCCTGAAAACATTATAGGAAGGAATAGGAGAAACTCTAGAACACCTTGGCACAGACCGAAATTTTCTTAATAAAGGCCCAGAAACAACAAATCAAAGAAAGGTTGGACAAATGGGATTTCATGAAACTGCAGAGCTTCTGCATGGCAAAGGATATAGCTTGTAAGATCAATAGAAAGCCTACAGATTGGGAGAAGATCCTCACTAACCATACAACGGACAAGGGCCTCGTTCCTAAAATGTACTTAAAACTTAAAAGATTAAATCCCCAAAAACAAATTCTCAAAGAAACAACTGCTCAATTAATAAGTGGGCTAAAGACTTAAAGAGGAAATAAGAATGGCCAATAGACACATGAAGAAATGCTCAACTTCTCTAGCCATAAAACAAATGCAAATCAAAACAACATTGAGATTCCACCTCACCCCAGTCAGAATAGCTGTAATAATCAAGAAATCTAATAACAACAGCTGCTGGAGGGGATGTGACTAAAAGAGAACCCTACTGCATTGTTGGTGGAATGTAAACTTGTTTTGGAAAGCAGTATGGAGATTCCTCAAAAGACTCCACATAGAGCTCCCCTATGACCCAGCAATCCCACTTTTGGGCATTACCCAGATGATCACAAACAAGACCATACTAAAGCTACCAGCACAACTATGTTTATCGCAGCATTATTCACCATAGCTAAGATATGGAACCAACGTAGATGCCCCTCAGTAGATGAATGGATCAAGAAAATATGTCATATCTATCTATCTATCTATCTATCTGTCTGTCTGTCTGTCTGTCTGTCTGTCTGTCTGTCTATCTATCTAATGGAATTCTATGCCTCCATCAGAAAGAATGACACTGCCCCATTTTCTAGGAAATGGGAAAGACTTGGAACAAATCATATTAAGTAAAGTAAGTCAGGCTCATAGAAACATAGGTGCCATGGTTATCTGCAATAACTAGTATATGTCTAGGACAAGCAGAAAAGGTCAAAAGCTAGGTACATATGACCATATAAGATGATGCTAAGTGAAATGAATCCCAAGATAGTGACACAAGAGGTTTTATCTTTGTTGCTGTTGTTTTTAATGTACTTATAATATACTGTGTGATTATTTTTGTTTCTTTTGTATGTTCTTCCCCCATGGTATAACTCGTTTTCACTGTATTTGATTCCTGTGCGCTGCATCTTTTTTTCCCTGTATTTTTAATATATATTTTTATTGTAAAGATACTGTACAGAGGGGTTTCAGTTACATGAGTAAGGTAATGAGTGAATTTCCTATTGAGCATTGTTACTCCCTCCTTTATCTTTCCCCCAACTCCCCCTCTCCAAAGTTATAAAGTTCCTTTTCAACATACCGATCTTGTACATCTCATTGTTACAATAGGTTATTCTGTATCCTTATTTCAGCATTTTGTTATTTCCCTTTCCTTCCCCAAATTAGAAAATTGTACATACAAGATACAGGGCTCCAGAATCAAATACAGTGACATCAGAGGCACAGCTATGCTTATCGCAACATTATTCACCACAGCTATGGAACCAATGCAGATGCTCCTTAGATGAATGGATCAAGAAAATGTGGCATACACACACACACACACACACACACACACACACACACACACACAATAGAATTCTATGCCTCCATCAGAAAGAATGACACGGAAAAAATCATATTAAGTGAAGTAAGCTGGGCCCAAAGAAACCTAAGTCCCATGGTTTCCCTTACCTGCAATAACTAGTATATAGTATATGTCTAGGACAAGCAGAGGTCAAAAGCTATGCTAAGATAATGCTAAGCGAATATAAGATAATGCTAAGTGAAATGAACCCCAAGATAAGGACACAAGGTTTTATCTTTGTTGCTGTTCTTTCCTTCCTTCCTTCCTTCTTTCTTTCTTCCTTTCTCTCTTTCTTTCTTTTCTTTCTCTTTTCTTTCTTTCTCTCCTTTCTTCTTTCTTTCTTTCTCTCTCTCTTCTTTCTTTTCCTTCCTTCCTTTCTCTCTCTCTCCTTTCTTTCTTTCTTTCTGTTTGTTGTTGGGCCTGAACTCTGGGCCTGGGCACTGTCCCTCACACAGAGCCATTTCTGGCTTTTTCTGGTTATGTGGTGCTGAGGAATCAAACCCAGAGCCTCATACATGCAAGGCAAGCACTCTGCTACTAAGCCATGTTTCCAGCCCTGTCTTTTTCTTCTTAATGTACTTAAAATGTATTATGTGATTTTTTTGTATGTTTTTCCTCTGCATCTTGTATATACATTTTTCTATTTGGGGAGGGGAAGGGAGATAACGCTGAAACAAAGATACAGGTTGACCCATTGTAACAATGAGATATACAAGATACTATGTTGAAAATGAACTTTACAACTTTGGGTGGGGAGGGAGGAGTTGTGGAGGTGGGGCAGGAAGGGATGGTAGGGGAAATACAAAGGAGGGGTAACAATGCTCCATAGGAAATGTACTCATTACCTTTCTCAAGTAACTGTATAGTATCTTTACAATAACTATATATATATTAAAAAAAGAAATATAAGCCTTTGGATCTGGGAGGAGATAAGAAGAGAAAGAGGCAAAATGATCCTATTCTAAGTTCCAATTTGTTAAGACAGTAAAATCATGAGGTCAAAAGAAAACAAAACACTAACATTTACTAATGTATGTTTTCATAATCACACAGCACTTTTTAGTTTCTTTTTTCCTGAATGCTCAATTTACTCCCTTACCTCAGCATTCTTATGGAACCCATTGAGGTCCCATTTTCTTTTTTGAGCTTATAAAGACTGAGACAGAAAAGCAGGGCTCTGGCTTCCTCCCATGAGGGGCAAGTAATGTCAGGGCGCTGAGCCATGGGCTGAGCTGGCTGGCAGTGTGGCCAGATCTTACATCACGACTGAGGGTCAGCCAGATGGTTCACACAGACACAACAGAGGACCTGGGGGCTTTTTCACAGATGTCTTGAGACCCAAGCAAATAGCTATTGTGTAAAAAGCATTATATAAGAAGGAAAAGCTCAGCAGGGCGTTGATGGCTCATGAGTGTAATCCCAGGCTGAGATCTGAGGACTGCAGTTCAAAGCCAGGCTGAGGGGCTGGGAAGGTGGCTCAGTGGTGGAGTGTTTGCCTTGCATGCATGAGGCCTGGGTTTGATTCCTCAGCATCACATAAGCAGAAAAAGCCCAAGTGGTGCTGTGGCTCAAGTGGTAGAGTGCTAGCCTTGAGCTGAAGAGCTGAGGGACAGTGCCCCCCATGACTGACAAAAAAAAAAAAAAAAGACGACAGGAAAAAAAAAAAAAAAAGACAGCCTGAGCAGGAAAGTGTGTGAGGCTCTCATCTCCAATTAACCACCAGAAATCCGGAAGTGGAGCTGTGGCTCAGAGTAGTAGAGCACTAGCCTTAGCAAAAGAGCTCATGGAGAGCGCCCAAGACCTGAGTTCAAGTCCCATGACAGATTGAAAAAAAAAAAAAAGGACAAGCTCTGTTATTTCCAATCTTGTTGTAGAGGTGAAGGGTAGATAAACATTTTAGTGCACACCCTACCTCAATCATTTTTTTTTCTTGACTTGGAAGTCTTGTATTCAAATATGGTTGGTTTCAATGTGTATTTGAAATAAAAAAAATAGGGATAATTTACATTATCCTTCCTTTCTTTCTTTTTTTTGTCGGTCATGAGGCCTGAATTCTGGTATTACAGGCATGAGCCTGTGTTTTAGATAATGTCTTCCACTCTTGTCATTTTTAACAAATAGATTTAAGAGATGGATGCAAATACTATTCCAGGAAGTAGAAAGAGCTAGGTGTCAGTGGCTCACACCTATAATCCTAGCTACTCAAGAGGCTGAGGTCTGAGGATTGTGGTTTGAAACCAGCCTGGGCAGCAAAGTCTGTAAGACTCTTGAGCTGTGGCTCAGTGGTAGAATGTTAGCCTTGAGTAAAAAACTCAGGGACAGTGCCTAGGCTCTGAGTTCCAGCCCCAGTACAGGTATGCATGTGCAAACATTCGCTCTGTCTCTGTCTCTGTCTGTCTCTCTCTCTCTCTCTCTCACACACACAGACACACACACACACAGACACACACACACGTAGGAGAGAGAAAAAAAGGAAAAACAGATTCAAGAAAATTCCAGCCAGGCATGGGTGGCTCACACCTGTAACCCTAGCTACTCAGGAGACTGAGATCTGAGGATCACAGTTCAAAGCCAGCCTGGGCAGGAAACTCCGTGAGACTCTTATCTCAATAAACCATTAGAAAACTGGAAGTGGTGCTGTGGCTCAAGCGACAGAGCACAGGGAAAATGCCCAGACCCAGAGTTTAAGCCCCACGACTGACAAAAAAAAAAAAAAAGGAAAAAAAGAAAAAAAAAAGAAAATTCCATGTTGATATATATATATTGTCTTAGAGAAGGAAATGCAAATTTCCACCAAATACTATTTTCTAGTCTTTATTTTATGTCTTTTGGGGCACTATTAAATCCCTTTTGTTTAAACCCCAAATAGAAACATGGCTTAGAAAAACTTACTACTATGGTTTACCTTCTAAGTACATCTTAAGTTCCAACAACTTGAAAAAAACTCACAGCTTTTAAAATACCTCTGACACTTAAAATGAACATGTAAGCCACTGTTGCCTACCTCCATTTGTAATTTTAGTTATTCAGGAGGCGAGATCTGAGAATTGTGGTTTGAAGCCAACCTAGGCAGTAAAGTGGATGAGACTTTTATCTCCAATTAAACACCAAAAGCTGGAAGTGGAATTTAGCTCAAGGGGTAGAGTGGCAAAACTAAAAGGACAGCACCCAGGCTCTGAGTATAAGCTCTTATAATGGCACAACCAAACCAAACCAAACCAAAAACATACTGGCAAATAAGGCTTATATCAGTGGTCTGCTAAATATTACTGTTGCCATGACTGGTAGGTGCTATCGTACCATTCATGTAAAACACACCCCTGTCTGCAGCAATCCCACTCACCTGAATATTGAGTTGTACTTTTTCCATCTCTACACCGAGGACTTTTGATCTGACATCAAAGATGCCCACATCTTCGGTAGCCATGATATCAAATGTAATATTCTTAAACCTAGTACGGAAAGGAACAGACACAAAGGTAGAATTACACACATACTAGGATATAAGCTCATAGAATGAAATATACTCATAGAATGCCAGCTTAACACGTGAACAGCCTGTTGGAAAAATCCTAAGGAAGACACTAAACAGTGACACCATTTTCCTACTCTGTTCCCCCAAAACCAGCCTGCCCACGGGCCTGGCTTCAATACCACTAAGCCTAGGAACCCTCCTAGTTGAGGGGTGTAGCTCTCACAGTGCTGAACAGGGGCTTTTCACAAAGGGAATAAACAGTGTGGCCTTTGCTCTTAAGAGAATCAAATATACTTGGAAACAGGATGGTCATAGGACATGAGAGCTAAATATTGAACTAGGCTGCTGTCAGGCCATCCTCTAATCTTGTACATGATAACTTTGTTAATTTTTGTTTTTGGTGCCAGTCCTACGGCTTGAACTCAGGATCTAAGCCTTGTCCCTGAGCTTTTTTGCTCAAGGGTACCAATCTACCACTTGGGCCACAGCTCTACTTCTGGCTTTCTTCTTCTTCTTCTTTTGGTGCTTAATTGGAGATCAAGAGTCTTATGAACTTTTGTCCAGGTTAGCTTTGAAGTGAGATCCTCAGACCTCAGCTTCCTGAGTAGCTAGGATTATAGGCATGAGTCACCAGAGCCTGGCTTGTACATGGTATCTTTTATAGAAACTTCTAAAAAGGAAGAAGCTCTTTCTCTAAGCCTGTAGTTAGGAGGTTTCTTGGCCTCAGCAGCTTTGAAGCCAGGACCAAGGGCAGGTGGGAATTAGTCAGGAGGCCAATGCAATGAGCTGACTTCTGAGACTAGGACCCAGAGTCCAAGCCCATGATCCCTTGCAGGGGAGCAGTAGCTGGTGCCTGATGGTGCTGCGGAGAAGGTTTGGTCCCCTCCTCCACTTTGGATTCACATTCACTGTTGGGAGTTGGCTGGGGCCCAGGGCTAAGCAGCCTGTGACTTTGGAATTAGAAAAGTCTGCTTGGCAACTGAAGATAACTCATTTAACATGGCCAAAAGACAGCCTTTCATTCTCCCTGCTATGACTCAGCTAGCTCCCTGGGTACACACACAGTGGATGAACTACCAGAAAGAAACATAGAACCTCTTGATCCATATTTCACACAACCAGACAGTATGGCTGCTGAGAGCCTAAGGGAAGACTAGTGACAACAGTTCATGGATTCCTCCCTGGCCTCTGTAACCAAGGGGATCTCTCTCTCAAAGGCAAGGGGCCCAGAGGAATGCTGAGGCAGACCATGTGCGTGTGGATGTGTATGCTTCACTTACTGGTTTGTCAGAAGATCATCTATCTCCAGCAGGACTCCTTTCTCCTGCAGCTTGGCGGCGGTGTATCTCACTGGCTTGGCTCTCTTTGTGCCTTTGGGCTCTGCCTTTACATCTAGTTTAATTGACCTCCGAGAATTCCTGACAAAATAAGAATACATCCATCACCTGTTACTATAATGCTTCTGAGAGCACAATAGCCACACCTAGAATGATGCATTTTTCCCACGCTTGGTCCCCTTGTGATGAACCTGTACTGTTTCATTTTGTGACAAAAGGTAAGGATTTTACTCACTGCAGTAACTATTTGGGGAAAGGATTTCCCAAGTGACTGAGATTTGTGTTACAGACTAATTAAACAAAAAAAATTTTTTTTTTTAACCAGTACTGAGGCTTGAACATTCCTGCTTAGATTTATCACTCAAGACTTGCATTCTACCAATTGAACAACACCTCATGTCTAGCATTTTGCTGGTTAGTTGGATAACAGTCGCTGGATTTATCTGCCCAGACTGGCTTCAAAATGGTTTGCACCACTGAAACAGACAGACTAATAATTTTAATAAAACTCATATTCTGAGCCACACACCAGAGGTACATGCCTATAATTCTAGCTACTCAAGAGGCTGAAGATCTGAGGATTGCAGTATGAAGCCAGCTCAGGCAGGAATGTTCATGTATCTATCAGCTCCAATTTAGCAACAAAAAAGTCAGAAGTAGAGCTGTGGCTCAAGTGATAAGAGTGGTAGCCTTGAGCAAAAAACAGCTTAGGGACAACACTTAGGCTCTGAGTTCAAGCCCCAGGACCGGTGCACGCGCGTGCACGCGCGCACCCACACATACATACACACACACACACACACACAGTAACAAAAACGTACACTCTGTATTCTCAGTCATATGGTACTAAGTAACTATATTTGAAGTCATTTTGTAAGCAGTTTTGGAGAAATTATATAAACTTTACATTCCTGAGAGAAGGTAGTTTTACTAGGACTGTGTAACTTATTTAACAAACATCATGTAGCTGGCTCTATTCTAGGCATTTGTTGCATTTATAAAATTAGCATTTCCATCATACTCTGAAATTAATAAATTTCTTGGCCACAAATTAATTCATTTAGCTTTCATAACAATGCTTGTAGAGGCTGGTACTTTGTGTGTGTGTGTTTCTACTGGTACTGAGGCTTGAACTTAGGACTTTGCATTCTCATTTTTTGCTGAAGGCTGGTACACTATCACTTGAGTCATACCTCTGGTGCATTATTTTTGCTGGTTAACTGAAGTCTCTTGGACCTTTCTATTGGGGTGAGCTTCAAACCACAGTCCTTAGATGTCAGGCCCCTGGGTAGCTAGGATGATGGGTGCAGCAACTGGCTAGGAACTATTCCCTCCCTTCCCCCCACCTTCCTTTTCTTTCCTTTCCTACTTTCATTCCTCCCTCCTGCCCTCCCTCCCCTCCCTTCTTCCCTCCCTTCCTTCCTTCCTTTTTTCCTTTCTTCCTTTTTTCCTTCCTTCCTTCCTTCCTCTCCCTTTCTCTTTCTCTCCTCTCTCTTTCTTTCTATCTCTGTGATAGTACTAGGGTTTGAACTGAGAACCTAATGCTCTTGCTTGGCTTTTTACTCAAGAATGGCTTCACCATTTGAACCATAGCTACACTTGCAGGGTTTTTGCTGAGTAATTGGAGATAAGAGTCTTGCAGTTTTTTTTTTTTTCTGCCTGGGTTGGCTTTGAACTGTGATCCTCAGATATCAGCCTGAGTAACTAGGGTTATAGGCTAGAACCCAGTACTAAGCCAGAAAGTGGTACTTCTAATCCCATTTTAAGATGAAAAAAATTGAGGTTCTGAACATTCGACTGGTTCAAGATCACATAAGAGGATCAGAACGCACATACATACTGCCTGACTGTAGAGTTTGTACAAAATGCCCCAAGTCTCTTCAACTTTGGAAAGCAAATTGTTATCAATGATTTCTATTGAAAATCGGCTAAAATATCTATTTTCCCAGTTTAAATATGCATACAAAGCTTGCATGCAAGTGAATGCAAGTTCACAATGAGTGGTGTACAAATCAATGAGGTTTACTTTTGGTTATGCGCCTCTATCAGATCTGTGACTAATGCAATTGATTTTTCCATACTGAATCATTTCCTACTGCCAACTTAATGAGTAGGATTATATGAAAATATTGTATTACATAGTTAAGAGGGTAATTAAAATTTCATTAGCATCGATCCTTGTCTGGTGACAAGAATAAGTATGAGCAGAGGTTCTTCATTCAAAGTCACCATATTGTGTATAAAACTATAAAATATATAAGCTCATTTATAACAGCGAGTGGCCAAAATTCTACCTGTGTCTATAATAACATTTTAAAACTTCAAAGCAATTTTAAATCCTTTAGTTGTTCTGTGAAATTAGCAAATATCTGGCATTATCTAACATTTCATAAACAAGACTAGAATCTATCATCTATCTATCTATCTATCTATCTATCTATCTATCTATCTATCTATCTATCTATCTATCTACCTAGCTAGCTAACTATATAAAATAAATGGTGTTTTTAAAGCATCTTCAATTATACAAGGCAAAAGAATAATTTGTGTTTTCTTTTGTAGCCTTTTTTTTCTTTTTTTCCCCCAGGGCTGAGGACCGAACCCAGGGCCTTGCGCGCGCCGGGCGGGTCCCCTTCCGCTGGGCTAAACCCCCAGCCCCTAATTTGTGTTTTCTTAAATGTTACTTTTTTTTTTTTCCAGTTCTGGAGCTTGAACTCAGGGTCTGGGCTCTGTCCCTGAGCTTCTTTTGCTCAAGGCTACCACTTGTGCCACAGCACCACTTCAAGCTTTTTCTGTTTATGTGGTGCTAAAACCCAGGGCTTCATGCATGCAAGGCAAGCACTCTACCACTAAGCTACATTCCCAGACCTAAATGTTACTATTATTTGCTGAAAATACAGTGAGGTAAGCTACTCTAATTGTAATGACAATAGGGAAGTAAAAAGTTGCTAAATTCATTTCTGACTTCTTAGCTCACAATGGCTAATAACAAAATTAAGACTCTAGGTTTTGGCTGTACAAGAGAGTAAAAAGTTTGCACCCCTACCCAACCAACCCACCCACACAGCAGAATTCCCACACGAGCCAGGACATTACAGATGAACATGATCTCCTCTTCACTTACTTCCTTTTCAGGTTATCTAAACAAGTCTTTATGTAGGTGTCATAATAATTAATCTGTTCCTCATAAAATGTTGCCTTCTCATTAAGTGCATTCAGAGTCTGCTGAAGTTTTGCCAATTCAGCCTTCCGAAGCGTGCGATGGATTCTTTGATTTCGAATATCCTAAAACAATAAGTAGCAGCTATAATAACAAGTGTGGGTAAAATTTTGCTTTATGAGATCAACTTAGGACAATAAAGTATTAATCTTCCATTGTTGTGACTTTTAGCTTAAATATCATGTTATTATAAAACATCTTACTATACATATACACACACATATATATATGTGTATATACATATATATAAATTACTTGTCTTTTTTTATAGTCACTGAAACTTGCTAAGGTTTATTTTTCTGTTGATGGACAAACAAAAGCAAATTAAGAATAACCAAACAGTTTAAGGAAAAGCCAGGTTTTAGGACACAAAGAAGATCTTAGCAGGACACATGTGATTTCTTCAGATTATTTTGAATTGAAAAAGATTAATGCATACTTGCTTATTTCTCCTTAACAATAATGACACACTTTTATCTGGTACATAGTTCTTGAGATCTGAAAAACCAACAGCTGGGCTCTCAAGATTGAAAGCTTTAGCACTGACAGTTTTCATAGCCCTCCATTTCTCTGTTTTCCACATCGGTGAGTTTTCTCAAATGTGGACTGAAAGTATTCAGGGAAAAAAGAAGCTATCTGTAGAACATGTATAGATTTTTGTTACTATTCTCTAAACAGTAAGGTAGGCACGTAGTGACACAGTCTTTACATTGTGTTTGGTATGATAACTAATGTAGAGATGAGGCATATGAGAAAGTTGGGCATGGTGGCAGACACTTGTGATCTCAGCCACTTAGAAGATGAAGGCAGGAGGATTCTTTGAGCAGAGGTTTAAGACCGGCCTGGGAAAACAAACAAAAAAAGCTTCTGGGGGGGGGGGGATGTGTATAGGCTATGTGCAAATTCTGTGCTATTTCATATAAGGGGCTTGAGCAGCCACAGTGTGTGGGTAATCAGCAGGAAGTCTTAGAACTAATCCCCAGCAGATACCCAGAGATGACTGTACTTGGTTTGAAATAGAATTCCTAGAACATAGCTTCTAAACATTCTAACCTCGTGCTAAATTTAAACTTGCAGATACTTTTTTCTTTTCTTTTTCTTGGTAATTCTGTTCAGTAAGTTATGAAGACGTAAAATGGTTTCTGTTTACTATTATTTATTCCTTTGTAAACAATTAACTCCCCTTCCCCAGGAATTCAAAGAGACAACCCTGTCCTTTCATAAGTAAAAATTCTTCATTGAATATTTTGGGGGCTGTTTTATGCTAACATTTGCTTTTGTCCTTAAAGTAAAAGCATTGATTTCTCTGCACAATATTCCCAAAGAGAAACAGTTTCCATCTTTCAAGACACAGAAGAAACCAAAAAGCCAATAATGCTATTTCCCTTGCATTATTCAGGATAGGAGGTATCTGCTTACTGCCAGAATTGGCCATAATTTTCCAATGAAGATTTTTACTGAATTTTTCTCCCGGGAGGCAAAAAAAACCTCCTCTTTTGTTTTTGTTTTTGCTTTGTTCCTGAGATCCTTCAACTTCCTCTAGCCTCTAGGCCTATATAAATGTGTAGGTTTGGATCAAAAGAATAAAGTACGCTTCTCATCCCAACATATCATTCTTCCTTATCCTTGACAAACACATTCTCAGCGGCTTCCTGCAGCCTTTCCTTGCATGGAATCCACATCCTTTTTCTCGGGAAATTTCTCAAGTGTTCAAACATGAGATGAGAAAACAGAAATAAACCCTTTCAGTCTGAGCTGCATTTAGGACAAACTGATGAGAAACAGATTCAGGGTAGTGGTGGGGGTCACCATCTCAATGGCAGGTCTGAAGAGCAATTAAGCTAGGAGAAAACTCCCTAGTTGTCACTGAAAACAAAAACCAAAACCAAAAACAAAAATTGAATAGATCTAGCTTAAAGGTTTAGCCCTAGCTGGTTGCCTACATTTCCTTTGTGAGCATTTATTCCTGGTGTTTTCAACTCTTCTATTGATTTGGGGACATTGTGTTTATTCCTTGTAAAATTCATCAACTCACTCTGAGACCTTAAAAAAACATCTGTAATGTCAAAGCAGGAACCATAGACAACTCTGTCTGAACTCCTCAAGTCCCCTTACAGGGTGCCCTGCATGTGACCGCTGACCAGCAAAGGTCTACTGGGTGAAGAAGAAGGAAGACAGTTTGAAAACCTTGGCAATCTCGTTGAGAAGGTCTTGGTATTTGTCTTTGGATGATACGTGTCCGGTCTGCTCCAGTGTGCGAAGACTCCTCTGGATTTTCCTCTTCTTCTGCTCAAGAGGCAGATGACCTTCTTCAATTAGTGGTTGCTCGTGAGTCAACCCAGGAGTCCTGGAATCCAAAATTGCACGGCTCACCATGTCTTTGGAGTGTTCTTCTTCCTGCAGAAAAGAGCATATCCGGATGTTGAATATTTTCCCTCTCTTATCCTCTACACCCACATCGAGGATTTAACACATATAGAGCAAGTTAATGTCATAGGGAAAGAAGTCTTTCAGTTAAAGTCCAAAGAGTAGTGCCAGAATTGTGTTTCATGGTTCTGGAGTCAGCCTTCAGAAGGAATTACCTCCTTTTGTTGAATAACACAGCAATGATGACAGACCTCATTAGGGAAAAATCCTAAGCTACTTTATTACCAAGGTGACAAATCGCCTTGACAGTGGACATATTTTCATGAGTAATGGTTTCTTTGCAATTCCTTGGATTTATATCAAAGCCTGGATATCCCAATGGAGAAAATAAAAACTGGATTATTTACTAAGATGTGGCTATGAGAAGCCCTAGTGTCTAGAACCCAGCACATCAGCTCTACCGATGGAGAAGCACAGCAAGTCCAACTGTGAGGGAGGCAGAGCGCTCCATTCTCACATGGAATCACCCTCCAACTAGCCACTGTAAGAAACTAGTAGGTTTCTTTAAACAAAAGCAATCAGGATCTTCTGGCGCAGAGGATCAGGATATTCTATCACTTAAGCCGTCCCATACCCCTGCATGTCAGCTTGTTTTGTTTTTGAGATAGAATCTTGCTAACTTTGCCCAAGGTGGTCTTGAACTTGTTACCCTCCTGCTTGTACCAGTTGGGGATTACAGATGTGAAGCAACATGCTTAGCTTAAGGACACAATTGTTAATAGTTAGATACAGTAATGTTAGACACAGGACCCTGTGGATAGGGTCAGTGACTAACAGGTCAGCAGTAAACAACTATTGTAGAAGCAGAGCTAACATTAGCATTTAATGTGTACCCAATACTATTGTACACTTTAATTATATTTTCACTCATTTAATTCTGTGTGTGAATTAAGAATTATTTTTCATTTCCAGTTTACAGTTGAAAAACCTAAGGTACAGATATATTTCTAAGTGCCAGAGCCACAAGCTAGGAGACACAGAGATATTCAAGTTCCCATATACCTGGGCTCATCACCACTCAGTCACAGTACAGTGGCAAAAAATGGGATCATTTAATAAAGACTAAAGTCTCTAATACTAAATAGGTATATACCACTCTTATTAATTCAAAAGCATTCACATTAACAAACATCAGACAATCTGAAGTTTTGCTTTATATTTTTACATTAAAACCTTAGACAAGATGATTTCCTGGTAACCTATTCAATTAAGAAAGAATAATTTAGGAAACTTAAGTGAAGTTCTGTTAAGAAGCAATTAATTATATAATTTCTGGAACTTTTGTTCAGGGAACAACAATTACTTGTATTAAAATAATACTGACATTAATTTGTTTTGACATGGACTGAATAATGATACACTTAAAAAGATATAATCCAGTGCTGGTGCTCATTCCTGCAATCCTAGCTGAGATTAGGAGGCTAAAAATCTGAGGATTGTGGTTTGAAGCCAACCCAAGCAGTAAAATCTGTGAGACTCTTATCTCCAATTAATCACCAAAAAGGCCAGTGAAGATGTGGCTCAACTGGTAGAGTGCTAGGCTTAAACCAAAGAAACTGAGACATAGTGCCCAGGCCCTGAGTTCAAGCCCCGACACACACACACACACACACACACACAAGTAAAAACATTAAAGAAAGACTGTCATGAAACTTTACTTATATCAACATACTGGTAGTCAGACTAATAGACTCAGATATTTACTTCTGAAGCATTTGGTAAATAGTTTTAATGTGTTTATTCAAAATAGCAAATAGATAAAATAGAGAAAGTGTTTTTTTGACATTCTGTCAACTAATAGTATCTCTCAATGGACTTATCCAGCCATCCGTGGTATACTGAAGCTTATTTATCACGAATGTTCTGAAGTTTTGAGAGACTCAAAACTATCTTTGGATTATAGAAAAATCACAGATAGCCACATGGTTTTTACATATAGTTGAAACTAATAGTTTACAGTAAGAGATATAATTCCTTCTTGATGCTGTGGCTAATGCCTGCAATCCAGCTACTAGGGAAATGGAGAACTGGAGGATCATAGTTCCAGGCCAACCTGAGGAAAAAATTATAGTGAGACTTCTCTCAATCAATAAGTGACACTATATCACAATCAATAAACTGGGTATGGTGGTACAAATCCATCATTTCAGCTATTAGGGAGGTGGGGTAGGAAGATCTTGGTCTGTGGCCAACCCTGGGCAAAAATGAAACTATATCTGACAAATATCTGACTAATGCAAGAAAGGACTAGGGCGTAGATCAAGTGGTTGAGCACCTGCCTACCAACTGTAGGCCCTGAGTTCAAATTCTAGTACCACCAAAAATTGTTGCATTTCTTTACTTCCTGACCAAACTAGAAAAGTGCCTCCCAGATAATAAATATTTCTCACAAAGACTGATTAATAAACATACCTGTTCATTATACTTATTATTTTATAAAGACAAATTACCTGTTCTTCGGTTGCTGGTGTCTCTAAGATTTCAGTTAATGAGGTTCCTGGCTGGTTCCGAATCACATCAATGATCATCTTTTTGGTCCTTACAAAGGAGAAAAAGGAGAGAGAGAGACTTTCAGACAGCTGCCTTGATGCAAAAAAAAATGATTTCTCTTATGTGAATGCACAAAAGGATGCTTCAAATCAAAGATTCTTACAGGTGTGTTTGAAGGCTCCTGAGCATTTGTATTTGTCCATCAGAGTCTGGGCTTTATAATCTTGATGTTGTAAGACTATTCTGTTAGCAGCATGAGCACAAATACGCTATAGATTCCTTATCTAAATACTTTTTTTTGTTCTTTTTGGACCAAGATTTTTGTTGTTGTTGTTGTTCCTGGGGCTTGAACTTGGTCTGGGAGCTGCCTTTGAGCTTTTGCTCAAGGCTAGTGCTTTAAGACTGAAACCAAATCTTCACTTCCACTTCCAGCTTTTTGGTAGTTAATTGAAGATCAGAGTATCTTATCACAGACTTTCTTTTCTCACAGTGCTGGCTTTAAACTAAGATACTGAGATTCTCAGATTACTGAGTAGCCAGGGTTACAGGTGTGAGCCACAGGTGCCCAGAAACTACTTTTTGATAGGCAGCTGAGATGTCTTACTATGGAAGGGACCAGGATGGTAGCTACTATCCTTTTCTCCTGACTTCAGTAGCATGTAAACATCAATCTGTCACTGCATCCAAAGCTTTAGGAATCACACTAATGGTGTCCTCTATTTTCACAAAGTTATGGAACAATGTGAAGACTAGTGGTCACAGAAGCCCAGAATGGCTGTAGAGGCTTAGGCTGCTGGCCGACCCCAGCAGTCAGGAGGCTGAGTGTTCAAGGACCTGAGGAACAAGGAGACAGGGCTGGCTCATTGGTTTCCTGTGGAAGGGAACAAAGTTCAGATGTGGAAATCCTACCGAGGTGCTAAAACCACACATTCTTTCAGATGTGTATATGTGTTCTTGTTGCCAATTGGCCACATGTCTCTAATTAGGGATCAGGCTATGCAATTATGTAAGAAAGGATTTTATTGGAAGTGTGTCTTCAAGAAAGAATGTAGAAAGATTTTAACATAAAGGGTAAATAGGAGCTGGGTGGTTTATGGATATAATAATCCTAATTACTCAGGAGGCTGAAATCAGAGGACTGTGGTTCAAAGCCAGCCTGGTCAAGGAAGTCTATAAGACTCATCTCTAATTAACCACCAAAAAGCCAGAAGTGGAACTGTAGTAAATGGTAGTGCAGTAGCCCTGAGTGACGAAACCGAGGGGCAGTGCCCAGGCCTTGAGTTCAAGTCCCAGTTCCAGCATCATAAAACTCCCTAACCACTCGCCCGACCCTAATGCCAACCAAGCAAAACCAACCAAGCAACAACAACAACAAAAGGTGAATGGAAAAGTTTGCTCACATACACATAGAATAGTAGTTACACTGGAAAAAATACCCTTCCTTCCAAAGAAGGAAACATGACTTTAAAATCTGTCTGACCCCAGGAACACCGTGGGGAGAGGAGACCTGGAAACTGCCATAAACTGCAAGCAGGTTAGGTGTGAAATTTCATTTTCATTGTAGCCCTGCTACTGTTTTGGTTCTGCTAGAGAAGAGAATCCTTAAACAGCAGCAGAAATGTTCACACAACATGAAACTAGAAATAAAAATGCATGTTTTCATGGTTGAAGCATAAAAGCAGCAGTTCCCGAATGGTCCTCAAAGTTATTTTGAATATAAACTTTCTGAAGCTGGGCTTGAATCCAGGAAGTTATCTATAAACATTTTTTTCCTTCTCATTTTCTATTTCTTCCAAGTCTGCATGAGAAGCCTGATCACATTGCAACTTCCGTTTCTCCCTTCTCTGGGGTCTCAGAGAGCCATTTCCTCTGGCACTATGACCCTTCGCTGACTGGGGATTTTCAGGCTGTCTGGGAATGCACAACTAAAGACTCTAGGGAGTCAAAGGTGAGCACATAGCTAATTATAGCCAGGTGGGAGCAGGCACGGTTTCTGAGGTGGCCATAGCTTGGAAGGCCTCCTGTCCCTTCCTCTGTCTACATCTCCATCTTCTAGTTATCATCAAAAGGAATGAGACAGAAACATTGGGTTAAAAATACAAGCTCTGCATGACTTTAAGAATTATTTGTTCAAGAGCTGCTGAAGGACAAACTGCTCATATGACCGTTTATCCTCTTTGAATTCTGTTACATCAGGCCTGTGGAATCCATTGCTCAAGTTCTACCCTTGACATTCTGTGTCCAAGTAACCATCCAGGATAGGGAATTCAGCTCCCTTTCCCCACAGTGGACTGTGGGTCAGACAGATGTAAGGCCACATCTGGGCTACTATTGTGTATTAGCCAGGTAAGCTTGTGCAAATTATATAATTCTTCTAAGTATTTTTTTACATCAGTCATAAAATGGAAACCTCTTAGAGAATTGATGGAGGACTGAATACAAAGATGCAAAGCCTTTTCTTGCCGGTTCTGACACATGGTAAGCATTCCAATGGTCAAGTAAGTTGTTTTGCCCAAGATGGCATGGGTGGCAGCCAAGTCCTTGAAAATGCTTGGTCCCATAGGGATGTGCTTTGTGTACTGGAGCTTGAAGATTTAGTTGGGACTAAAGAATTTACAGTATCTTATTAATAAGTTTTTATACTGGCCACCTGTTGATAGAAACTTTTTTTTTTTTTTGGTTGGTCGTGGAGTCTGGACTCTGGGCTTGGTGCTGGCCCTCAGCTCTTCAGCTCAAGGCTAGCGCTCTACCATTTGAGCCATAGTGCCACTTCCAGCTTTTTCTGCTTATGTGGCTGAGGAATCAAACCCAGGGCCTCAGGCATGCAAGGCAAGCACTCTACTACTGAGCCACCTTCCCAGCCCAATAGAAACTATTTTTAATAAATTGAGTTAAATAAAATATATGAAGAGATGGGCTGGGAAGGTGGCGCAGTGGTAGAGCGCTTGCCTAGCATGCCTGAGGCCCTGGGTTCGATTCCTCAGCACCACTTAAGCAAAAAGAAAAAAAGCCAGAAGTGGCGCTGTGGCTCAAGTGGTAGAGTGCTAGCCTTGAGCTGAAGAGCTGAGGGACAGACAGCGCCCAGGCCCAGAGTTCAGGCCCCACGACTGGACCCCACCCCAAAAAATAAATAAAATATATGAAGAGAAACAATCTTAACTCAATGTCAACTAAAAATAAGTGACTTATGAGCTGGGCACCGGTGGTTTACACCTATAGTGTTAGCTACTTAGGAGGCTGAGATCTGAGGATCATGCTTCAAAGCCAGCCTGGGAGCGAGAGTGCATGAGACTCTTATCTTCAATTAAGCACAAAAAGGTTGGAGGTAGAACGGTAACTCATATGTTTGAATGTTAGCCTTGAGCAATCTAAGCCCCGAATTCAAGCTCCAGCACTGGCACACACATTCACGCACTTACACAAACACATACATGCGTGCAAAAGAAATAAGTATGAAGTAATGGACATATTAATTCCCCTGACCAGATCACTAGATATTGTACACATGTATCAAAATGCTGAACTGTACTCGCTATGTACAAGTACTATGTGTCAATTCAAAATTTCATAAAATAAAATTTCCAGCTGGAAAAAGTCACAGGTTGGTTGTTTTTTTTTTTTTTTTTAGAAAACATGTGGCTTTTAGAAAATGATATTAAATTTCTTTTGGAAAGCACAGTACTGAAAGGCACAGAACATTTCATTCTTCAGGAGGAAGTTAGCACTATCCAAGGCCCACTCCCTGCCCTGGTTAGTCACAGGACCTCTGGGAAACAATCCACTATCTGCTGTTACAAGCAAGACAGAGACCTAAGAAGTTTAATGGCAAGACAGACACCGCACACTACTGTCTAGTGTTGTAGAACATAAGCCAAGTTCCTTTTCCACATCAGCAGCTGGCCACAAACTTCTGGTGATGGTCCATGACCACAGACTCTATCTTCCTATTCGTTTTGGGACATGTGGAGGTGAAACTCGGGACTTTGGCATGCTGAGCATACTTTTTTTTACTCAGATACAACTTCAGATCCCAACCTCCTCTTCTACCACCAAGAAGCCCCTGAGGTCCTTAAATGTTTAATATAATCTGCAGAGTTCATAGTTTGGTTTACGTTTCTGTTGCCAATGACCTTACAATGTGCTCCCCTCTGTACCCCAGTACACATCCCTCCTTATAGTTATGTCTGACCAGCGCAAATCAACTGGTAGTATTGATCTGTGTCTGTTCAAATGTCATGGTAGAGTATGGACTATGTATCAGTAAGAGGCTAATGTGAACCAAGAATCCTGACTTCCCTGAATGAGGCACTATTTAAAATCTAGAATTAAGATACTGAAATACACCAGGGATTTTCTTTAGCAGAGCTGTACTGTTATTTACTTATGTATCTAAGTGAGACCATGCGTCTCTTGAAAGATGTCCCCCGGCTTGGCCATTCCATGAATATGGCATCCATTAATGTGACACCATTATTAAACTCTGCCGGGTAGTATTCGAACCTTTCTCTGTCACCTGCACAACACTGAAGAGGAATCAGTGTTTGTAGCATCTCAGGAATCTCTCTTTTTTGAACATTCCAATGGCATTATTACATACTGTTTGCACTATACCTCAAGTGTCACTAAGCCATTGAGTGCTCTTGCCAGCTTGAAACAGAATCAAGGAAATCTCTGGTGGGATAATGGATCGCTAAACTCAATCAGGAGAACATTCTTAAGAGATGACAACTTAAGTGCTTGAGCAGCTAAGTATGATTTATAAAAACCACAAGCATTACCCTCTATTTAAATACAAATACTTTGGTGGAAAAGCAAGCTCAATAAAGGCCACTAGGGTAACATATTTTGAGATGTCATAATTTCTAGTAAGAGAGATTTACAAGTGTATGGTTCTTTATAATTTATAAGATGCCCAGGCTTGTCACAGCCCTCGCTGCTGCTCTGCTGTATGGCTGGGCACATTGCTGGCTGGGTCATTTGCGGCATCTTTTGGCTGATAAGTAATCCATGGAGCTACCATCCCATAGTATCCCACCGCTACCCCATTGGATTCTGTTTGTTTAGAACTGGGAAAGTGGTAGTAGCCCGCATTGAAGCCCCAGTCCTGGGGCTTGCACTCAGGGCCTGGGCACTGTCCCTGAGCTTTCCAACTCAGGGCTGCTATTCTGCCACTTGAGCCATCCCTCCTCTTTGGCTTTATGCTAATTAATTGAAGATAAGAGTCTCACAGACTTTCTTCAGATCACTACTCAGCCTCCTAAGCAGCTAGGATTACGGATGTGAGCCACTGGCAATGGCTTGACTGAGGTTTGCTATTCCACACAAATACAAAAGAGGAAAAGACCTTAATGTTCCCTCCAACTCAGACATGTGCCCTTCATGTCTATCACCCTTCTCAGTTGTTCACCTCTGACCTGGAAGGACACACTAGCATCAACAGTGCCACCATGTCTCTGCTGTAATCCTCATCCTTTATCCTAGTATTCTTTTTTTTTTTTTTTTGCCAGTCGTGGAGCTTGAACTCAGAGCCTAGGCACCATCCCTGAACTTCTTTTGCTCAAGGCTAGCACTCTTCTACTTGAGCCACAGCACCATTTCCAGCTTTTTCTTTTTATGTAGTACTGAGGAACTGAACCCAGGGCTTCATGTATGCTAGGCAAGCATTCTACCACTAAGCCACATTCACAGCCCTTTATCTTAGTATTCTTAGATGCAAAGAATAATGGCCTAGCCCTCAAGAACTGTGTGTTGCAAATGTTGGCTCTGGATGATTTAAGAGCAACTGGGTTTGAATGTGCTCCAGTTATTAGCTGTATTACTCAGGAATCTGGGTATCTGTTTTGTATTTATTATTTGTATCTGTGAAATATGGAAGATAACTCCATGTCCATAGGGTTACTGAAGGTATTATATGCATATTATAGTAATTATAATAAGCATGTGATAATAATCCACAGAAGAGGCAAAAATATTTGCAAATCATGTATCTGATAAGGATAAAGTATCCTGAATGTATAAGGAGCTCTTAGAATCCAGGAACAGTAACAATAATAAAATCCTCCACTTAAACAAAGGTAAAAATTTGAATAGATATTTAAAGTAAAAAGGATATACAAATGGTCAGGAATCACATGTAGAGATACTTAACTGTACTAACGAACTAATTCCAAATTGAAGCCACAAAGAAACATTCCCTTATACTCACTGGAATGGCTACTTTTTTTTCTTTTTGGTCTGTCCTGGGGCCTGAACTCTGGGCCTGGGCGCTGTCCCTCAGCTCTTCAGCTCAAGGCGAGCGCTCTACCACTTGAGCCACAGCGCCACTTCCAGCTTTTTCTGCTTACGTGGTGGGGAGGAATTGAGCGCAGGGCCTCATGCATGCAAGACAAGCACTCTACCACTGAGCCACCTTCCCAGCCTCTGGAATGGCTACTATTTGAAGAAAAAGAGGAAAGGAGGAAAGAAAGGAAGGAAATAACTGTCAAGGGGAATACAGAAGTCACACCTTTCTAGGGGAAAGGCAAAACAGTATTGCTACTATGGAAAATAGTTTTGTAGTCCCTCAAAAAGCTGAACACAGAATTACCATATAACCCAGGAATTCTACTCCCTGGCATATACCCCCAAACACCTGAAAACAGATATTCAAACAAACTTGTACCTAAACTTGTACATAGCAGCACTATTCTATAGACAATAGATGAAAACAATCCAAATATCCACCAGTGATTTCAAAGATAACCAAAGTACTGTATATTCATACAATGAAAGGGATCATAAAAAGGAACAAAGTCATGAATCATACAACATGGAGAACTACTACACTGAATAAAAGAAGTCAAACACCAAAGGCCGTGTATTACATGATTCTCATAATATATTACATGATTCTTATAATATGAATATGGAACAAGTAAATTCAGAGACAGAAACCAGCCTAGTAGTTAGCAGAGGCTGAGAACAGGGAGGAGGAGGACTGAATAAACACTTGAGATGGTAAAAATGTTCTTAAAACTAGACAGAGGTGATGATGCACAATACCGTGACTGTCCTAAATGCCTTTGAAGTGTGTACTTAAAAATCAACCCATTAGCTGGCTGCACATCATACGGTGACAGAAGGATTGTCTGTTGTGGGCAGCTAGCGCACCCTCGGTAGCAGAGGGGTGGTGACACAGGGCTGAGGCTGGTGTAAGCCCAGCAGGACAATGTGCCATGCTTTCCAGACAAAGTCAGCTCTTTACAACATGTCTGACTTTTATGATGTTGTTTTTAAGATACAAGTTCCAAGAATTTGTGGAATCCTGGAGACTCCGACTCAGAAATTAGTATGAATATGTAGGCCAGTCATATGATTTTAATATGTTAGACTACTCAAATGTAATTCTCATTACATTTGAGATTTAATGCAGTCAACCGCATTTAGAAAATGGCATTCAAATACTACATAAAGTCAATTAAGGGGAAACTTCTTCCCATCATCTCACGGGATAAATTTTATGAGATCATGGGGGATTTGGTCTAATTTCATTTGCATGACACCAACACCCAGTCTGGGTTTCCACTTACTTTGATAATTGGCCTGTTCAGAGGAAATTATGGAGTTCATTCATTTCACTCTTTTTCCTGCCCTGCCCTGAACTGTGTTTCAGAAAGTGCAATCTGTCTTGGTAAATAGGGTTGGCAAAGAAAGGCTCTCGGCTCTGGGAGGCCATGGCTGTGGCTGGCTCTGTCTTGTAGCTGGGCCTCTTGCTGTGCCCTCTCTACAGCTGGACCTCAGGCTGCAAGCACTGGGAGATAAGAGATTCCACTGGCCGGTGTCCAGCCTGGTCCCCATCCCAGAGCCTTACCACTCAAATGAAGGACTCTTAGAAGATCTGAGCACAACCTAAACAAGCCTTGTAGAAGCTTGGAGCCCAGCAGAACACACTGAAAAAGCTCTTTTTTTAGGGGTATTTACGTGAGCGGTTGTGTATCTGGAAAAAGTCAAGTAGAGACGAATGTGGCCTACAGCACGTCAGTGGCAGGACCGCAAGCTCTTATAAACAAAACCACCTCCGTACTCAGGACATGTAGCCTGGAAGAAGTGTGTGAAATACTGTGCTCCCACACAGTTGTTCCCAGTGGTCCTGATTTCCTTCTCCAGAGTCTGCTCCAATATATAACTCCCGTTCCACACAGTTGCATAGCCTCTCATTGATAAAGTTCTTCAAAATGACAGCAGTTTGTATTCTTGTCTCAGGGTTTTCATGTATGGGGTGGGAACACTCACTGATCTCACTATTCTTTTCTGTAAGTCTGATGTGGCACATGCATGCAGCTAGGAAAAATATAGCATTGATTTAAGATGTGATTGCTTCATTAGAAATCTTTGGGGACAGGAAATAGTATGTATGTAAACAAAGTCAAACACCTCTAGAATTAGTTTAATAGGAAAGAAGCCTGACAAATCAGATGGTGATATGTCTTGTCATGAGTATGAGCTTTTTCCCTGAATCAATCACTTCATTTCTTCGAGGAAAGAACTCAAAATGCTATGTGCAACACTAAAAATCAACACAGACTCGGTAGGCTAGTCTAATGCTCAGTTCTCTTCCAAACATCTATTGTTGTTTGGTTTGATATATGATGGATGGATGCAACGCATTTCCATATTCACTTTGCTTCAGCTTGCAAGGTTCAAGAGATACAATTGGAGAGTGTACCCTTTAAGCCCCAAACTTACTTTATCATGAGGCTTCGGCTATCCACAGATTCACCATCTCCTAGGTCATATTTGCTGGTCAAGGAAAGGGAAATCTCAGTCTTGGAGAGTTGATTTAGTGTATTTTCCTTGTTAGGGTCGTTGGGGTCAATGGATCCTTCCCCTGTGGCAAAAAGCAAGCCATGGTGTTATTCTTTGCATCTCCCTCCCATGGGGCCCTGCAGAAGTCAGACGTCGTAACTCCATGGTAGGCCATAGTCTGGGCGAAACTCACATCTGCAAAGAACGCAGACTTAAGAATATCTGATTAACACGTTAAAATAACCTGGGACAGTGCGGGCAGGGAATGTGACAGAGGGGGTGAGATTGGTTGGAATACAGCATAAGCATGTGTGTAGATATAACAATAAAATTCCCCCACCCATATAACTAATATATTCTAACAAAAATTACATGAAATTCTAACTATGAGCAAATAACTAAAAGATAGCTGCTAATCAAAGAAACTGTTAGAAAACAGTGAAGAAGTCGTTATGTTCTAACACATCTGTTCTTTTCTTTTTCTTTCTTGCTGGTACTGAGGCCTTGTGCCCCCAGTTTAACTTTTTTGCTCCAAGCTGGCACTCTACTACTTGAGCCTCACCTCTACTTCCAACTTTCTGCCGGTTAGAGATAAAAGTCTCAAGCATTTGTCTATCTGATTTGGCTTTGAACCTCCATTCTCAGATCTCAGCCTCCTGAAAAATTGCTAGGGTTGTTTAAGTGTGAACCACTGGCACTTAGCTCTTTTTTTTTCTTTCTTATGTTTATTCGATTTATTTTTTTGTGAAACAGATGGACAAATCTGTTTTGATGTGCCTAGAACTTACCTTCATGAATACCAAATTGTCTTATAGTCTGGGACAAATGATAGAATTTGGGGAGAAGCGGGGGTGTTGAACCCAGGGCCTTTGCACACGTTAAGCAGGTACTTTTCTTCTGAGTGACACCTAGCCCTGAGTTAAAAATTCTTGGTAGAAGAAGGGGTACAGGGAGCTCTTATCCTTTCAGTAAGCCTAACAGTTAGATTCCACTTTTTCTTCTTTTTATAATCTCAAATACAGAAACTAAACAAGAGGCCAAAACGGTGAAGATGAGAAAGAACGAGCTCTCACCCAGAAAGGATTCTATGGTGGGCACCTCTCCCAGCGTCTCAAGCAGCTCATTGAGTGAGTCGCTCTTCTCTGCAGCAATCACATCCTGATGTTCCAACAGGAGCTGTACACAGAGGACAACACACACATGCAGTCAGCCAGCTCCATTCCCAGCCTGCCAGACTCATGTACTGCCTCTTCTAGATTTCCAGCATTTTCTCTGGCTATTCTTTATATCTTCAGGACAAGTTGGACATTTATTAAAGCTTATGGATAGCAGAGACACAATCTCAGTTCTATCTCAGAGGGAAATGTCTGCATCCAGGAACTGTAGTATTGAAGGCGTTCCTAGATCTTTTTCAGAAAGGTTTACACAATGATCATGTTGGTAAGATCTGCTAAGGTCCTGCCTTCTACACAGCTTGTGTGCTCCACACTACCTTCACAAAATCTACATTGAGACAGAAGGGTCTTGGCTAACACCAACAGCAAACTGGCAGGGTGTTTTCTCTTCCTCCTCCTCTTCCTCTTTTTTCTTTTCTTTTCTTTTTTCTCTGTGCTTATCTTTCTTTTCCATTCATAGCTGGTGCTCTATTACTTGAGCCACACTTCCAGTCGGTAATTTTCCTAATTTACTGGAGATATGAGTTTTGAGGACTTTCCTTCCCTGGTTGGCTTCTAATCTTGATTCTTAGATCTCAGCCTCTCAAGAAGCTAGGATTATAGGTGTAAGCCATTGGCACCTGGCTGAAAGGGTATTTCCGTATTACTTTAGTAATCAAATACTATTTTGTCATGCAACTCTGTTTGTGGGGCTTGAACTCAGGACTTGGATGTTGTCCTGAGCTTTTTTACCTGCCGCTAATGCTCTACTACCTGAGCCACAGTGCCACTTCCTGCTTTTTTGGTCTTTAACTGTCTTAATGACTTTCTTTCCTGGGCTGGCTTTGCACCTCAATCCTCAGATCTCAGCTTCTTGAGTAGCTTGAGCCTCTGGGCTCCTGGCTATTACTTGGCTTTGAAGATCTTACAGGAGATAAAAATGGCAGCACTGCCTTCATGGTTCCTTGCGGTGGGAACAGTGGGATACGAAATGGCTTTCCAGAACCCACATGGCTACAAAGGCGTTTATCTCTTTCCAGTCTTAGAGAAATGCTGTCACTCTTCAAGAGCAGCTACACTGCCAGGGAAAGCAAGCAAGGACAGCACAGCTTTTGTTTGCATTTCTAATTAGTTGAAACTATGTTTCTAAACTTCTGACATCCTGCCTGTAGGAGACTTAGTTGTTTTGAATCATAATGTTATAATAATCATAGTTCTGAATTATAATGATAGTCCCATTTCCACTTTCTTTTCCTTTCTTTCTTTCCCTCTCCTCCCCCGCTCTTTGGTTGTTTGTGGGACTTGAACTCAGAGCCTGCATGCTCAGCCCTTAAGACTATCCCTCAACCACTTTGAGTCACAACTCTACTTTCAGTTTTTAGGTGGTTTAATTGGAGCTAAAAGTCTCACAGCCTTTCCTGCCTAGGCTGGTTTCAAACTATGAGCCTCAGATCTCAGCCTCCTGAGTAGTTAGGGTTAGAGGCGTGAGCCACCTGCACCTGGCCCCCTTTCCATTTTCAGTATTTCGTGATCCGGCCATTTCATCTCTAGATGTACAGATTTGTCAGCCGTAGAGACATTTGTGTATAAAGGTTACAACAGCATTATTCACAATAGCCAAGTGTCCATCAACAGATGGAAAAGGGTGGTATGTTCAACACGGCACAGTGACACACCATCAAGGAGGATCATGAGGCCAGGCCAGCCTGGATTATATAGCAAGCTCTAGGCCAACCTGAACTATATTCTTCAGTTGGTGGGGGGCATGGGTAGAAGGTGGTCTATATAATGTAATATTATTTAGCCTTAGGAAGAAAATTCTGATTCATGCTATATGAGTTATTGAAGTAAAATAAACCAGTCACAAAAAGCCAAACACTGAATCCCTATGATTGTCCCAGGAAGTCTCTACAGTAGTCAAATTCATGCGAACAGACTGTGGATCGAGTCTAGGAGTGAGCTCATGAGGAGGGACGGTTAATGGATACAGTTTCTTTGAGGATGGTAAAAATATTCTCAGAGTGAACAGTGCTAGTAATGGTCATAAAACTGTGACTACACTAAACACGGGGTGTCATATGTTTTAAATGAGTGGATTTAATTCAGTTTTTCTGGTTAACTGGAAATGGAGTCTTGCTGACTTTTTCTGTTCCGGCTGGTTTTGAACTGCATTTCTCTACATCTCACCCTTGTTAGTATTATGTTCACCTTTGGTCTTCAGCTCCACCCGCACCTGGCCCCTCCTCCCATTCCTGGAGTTCAAGCCATACAGCTGATCCCTCCCTCCCTCTGCCCAGACCCACCTCACCTCCTACCCCTCAGACCCTCCTGCAACCTGGATGGGGACAGAGGCCATGTGCTCCCTCTTGGGGGAAATATGGCTCCTCTACTAAACCTTATAATAATCTTTCTCCTGTGCCTGCCTACTTCTGCGTGGTCCCCTGGGTTGGATGTGTCTGATCCTCTTTCAACCCTCCTAAATTGAGAGCTATTATTACAGGAGTGAGCTTCCTACATTGACCTTTTATTATCTTAGTCTTTAAGATTATTGAAGTTTAATGCTAAATTTTCTTACTAGTTCCCTGTCATTTGCGGGGAAGGAGGAGGGAGGGAGGAAGAGAAAGAGAGAAAGAGAGGGAGAGATTCAGATGCAGGGTTTGAAATCAAGGGAGTAAGACATCTAGTTATTCTGTATTCATTATACTTATGACATTTCTGCTTCCACACGGCAGGCTAATTTTATAGCATAACAGAGAATCTTCGTTTTAAATTAAAGAAGTATGCATTGTTATTTTTAAAAAATTGGGATGAGTCACAGAAAGGTGCTAACTGAAAACTACAAGAGACACAGAGGCATGGTCAGCGCTGCAGGCACAGACATAGGTTATTTTGGGGAGGTGAGAGGGAGATAAGTTAGAGCACAAACAAAATAAGCAGGCTGGGTAAAGTTTAGAGACAGTGCATCTGGCTGCTGTCTCTGGAAATGCTGGATGTATTTCAGGCAGCCAGCTTTCACCCTTCGTTTTATGAATCAGAAAGCATTTCCTGTGAATGTCTCTGTAAAGAGCTGATGATGAAGTTTTACATGCTCGCCAGAGAGCCTAAGGCCAGTCTATGGCCACAGGGTGTGTATGTGTGTGAGTGAGTGTAAATGTGGGTGTGTGTGTGCCTCCATCCCTAGACTGTAAACAGGAAGTTGTCCCATTATTTGCCCGCCCACACTACAGCTGCAACCGCCAGCACAGCACACAAAGGGACTCCAGATTCATCACACGCTCTGTTTCCCAGAATTACATTCTGTTCTCAATTATTTTCAGCACAAGGAATCATCTATTTCTCCTTCAAGACTAGCAGTCTCCATGAACTCAATGAACATTTTCTCTCTATTCTCCATCAACAGGAACCTCTCACTCAGAACTTCTCATTCTGAGCAAACATGTAACAAAGATGTTTCTGCATTTGTTTGGGACAAAATAAACACATGGCTTACTACTCATGGTTAAAGAGTCTACTTCCCCACTTAAAAATAGTTTTCATAAATGGTACATAGTTGGACAGTTTTCTTCTATTTAAGCGATACTTATTGGGAACTTGATGCAAATGACATAGTTCCCTATTCCTGAGAAGGAAAAAGCAAAACCAGATCCCATCCTGCCTCCAAACCCACATTCCCAAGCTTATAATAATGCTAGAACTTTGAAGTAGCCATTTTGCTATGTGTATTATCAGGACTTTGAGAGAGTAGGCATATATGCTTTATTCTCTAGCTGTCAGTACAATACAAACTACATTCAACTGAAGCTTCTAGAACTTTCATGTGCATCTGAAGTTCCTGGGCTCAGATTTAGAAGATCTCGGGGTACATTTATAAGCTCTTCCCAAGATCTAACTTTCCCTAGCAAGGCTTGAAATTACCCTTAAAAAGGTTACTTTAAAAAATATTCCAGTTCCAACTGGACTTAGTTTTTGAATACCGAAATCCCTCAAAGATCTGGCTTCTGTCTTTACGTAATTGCAAAGCTGTCTCTGGGCTGCCCATTCTTTCCCAGTGCCCCACTGAGTGCTGACGGTTGCTGAGAAGCAGACGGAGACATGACAGAGCACAGACAGCAAAACTGCTGCTTCTAAGAAAAAGGGCTTTCTAGAACAATGGCAGGCTGAGCTCTGTGGGTGTGTCTTATCTTCTCTGAGCAGCTGGATGTCCACCTCTCTCCATACTGCTCAGCCTTTCAGCCAACATGCATTGTCATAGGTCCAAACATCAGAACAGGGAGAACACTATTCTCACCTCTTCAGCAAATGTCTAGAAGAGCTGTGCCTACTCCTAAAGGGTCAGAGATAGGAGGCTGCATGACTGCTGGGGGAGAGAACAGGGTTTGCCCCTGTTTAGGGCTTAAAGTATGCTTACAATCTAGCCTTGCAAGTGGATTATGCCCAATATCAACGTTCTTGTTTGTGAGAGGGGTTTTATTAATGTTTTAAGAGTCAAGATTCTCTCTTAAATTCTTTTCTTTTTTGTCAGTCTTGGGGCTTGAACTCTGGGTCTGGGCACTGTCCCTCAGCTCTTCAGCTCAAGGTGAACGCTCTACTGCTTGAGCCACAGCGCCACTTCCAGTTTTCTGGGTAGTTTATTGGAGATAAGAGTCTCATGGACTTTCCTGCCTGGGCTGGGTTTGAACCACTATCCTCAGACCTCAGCCTCCTGAGTAGCTAGGATTACAGGTATGAGCCACGGGTGCCCACCTCTCTCTTAAATTCTAAGAATATGTCCACCACCACATGTATACCATAAGTCCTGCATTATTTTTTGTGTGTGTGCGGTCCTAGGTCTTGGACTCAGGGCATGGGCATTGTCAATGAGCTTTTTTGTTCAAGGTCAACAGCTCCATTTTTGGCTTTTTTTTGGAGGGCCAATGGAGATAAAAGTCTCATGGACTTTGCTGCCCAGGCTAGCTTCAAACTACTTTTCTCAGCTCTCAGCCTCCTGAGTAACAAGGATTACTGGTAAGAACCACCGGCACTTGGCTTCTATGTCCTGTATATTTTTTTTAAGTGAGCACATGTGTAAAGCATGGGTGTGTAGCTGACCCTTCCCCAGTCCAACTTACTGAATGCGTACTGATGATTTCTTCAATGGAAATATAAATGACTGGTTTGCTGACTGTCACCAAGTCTGTGTATTTGTCCATATTAAACTTTTCTTCTGGTTCAAGGACATCACATGCTTCTTTGAAATATTTCCTAGTATAAAGGGAGGAAAAGTGTTAATATGGAGTCAAATATGTGAGTTAAATAGCTTTATTAAAAAAGGGTGTTTTGCATGATGGCTAGTACTTTGTTTTCCATTCAATATCTTGAAGGGAATTGCTACAACTCCTAACCAGGCTAGCTCCTGACTGCAGGAGCTTTTCAGCATGTATGGACATGCCTTAAACAGGATTGGATTCCTTCCTTCCTTCCTTCCTCTCTCTCTCTCTGAATGCATATGTGCTAGGGATCAAATCAGAGTTTTGTGCTAAGCACATGTTTTATCACTGGTCTCTATCTCCAGCCCTGAACTAATAATTCTTGATTTGAGACTCATGTCTCTGTAAAAGAATACAATTTCAGAAGCAATCCATCAAATATGGTTAAATGGTAAGATGTGGGATCTGTGTCACCCTTCAGAACATCTGTTACCAGTTTGAGAAAAATGGAGTTTAGTATACTGAATTCCTCTCTTTTCTTCATCTTCCTTTTCTTTTAGAGGTACTGCCTTGACCGGCAGGCACTCTGCCGATGAGCCACACCTCCAAGCCCTTTTTTGCACTAGTTAATTTTGAGACAGAATCTCTCTCTTTCTAGTTTCCATCACCCTGGTGGATGATGTGCCTGAGTTGTTTCAACTAGCGTGTGTGTTGTGTGTGTGTGTGTGTGCGTGTGCCAGTCTTGGGGCTTGATCTCAGGGCCTGAGCTTTTTTTGGGGATTGTTAATTGGGAATAAAAGTCTCGTGAGCTTTCCTGCCCAAGCTGGCTTCAAACTGCAATCATCAGACTCCAGTGTAGCTAGGATTACAGCTGTAAGCCACTGGCCCAACCAGGCTCAAAATAGGCTCAACCAGCCTATTTTACCCTTGTTATCATAGCTGGGGTGACAGATAATGTGCCATCATGTCCACCTTCTTCCACTGAGTTGGAGTCTGGTCTGGAAATTCAGTCCTCCCAATCTCAGCCTCCTACTTTGCTAGAATAATAGGCATATGCTACAACACTCAGTGAGAAGAACTGAAGTTAGCATTTTGAGAAGTTAGAACTTTCTGTGGTAGGTGTAACTCATTCATAAAAGGATACAAATTGGATAGAGATGATGATGATCATGAACTCTTTACATTGATTGTTAAAGTCGCTAAACCAGAGGAAACTGAAGAATGGGAAATAAAGTTTGCAAGTTGGGATGAAAGAGGCCAAACATGTCAGATTTCTATGGTCTATCACAGACAGACAAGAGCCCAGATACAAAGTGAAGGTGTCTACCAGAAAACTTTGAGACAAGCAAGCCTTTCTTGTCTGCATGGAATCATCAGAAAGAGAAACCATTGGAACGAGAAATAAAGTCAACAGAATGAAACCTTATGATTAAGAAAGTGTGAGAACAGGGCAACAGCACATATTCACACAAGCTCATCCACAACATCCACAAATATAGAACTGGGGTTTTCCCAACCTCTCAACACGAAACTCTTCATTTCCTACCATTGTTTGTCATAGATACGGAAAATTCTTCCCAACTGGAAAACAACTCCCCCCGCCCTTCAGTTACCCTTCTTTATAAGGTGAACAAAGCAGAAATCAGCTATTTTGAGCAGTCCATCCTGAGCACTCCACGTCAGTGGCAGAGCAGGAAGAGCACACGTTTCATTCTGTCAGTACAACATGGAATAAGCTAGGAGGGCTCAGCAGAGCAGGAGTGGTGGATGGGGCCACCAGGCACCAGCAACCTGGCCAGACCTTCCTTCTCTTTCCTGAAATGACAACTTCTAGAAGAATTGTACATAGCCAGCTGGTGTTCCTATAGTCACTTTACCCTCTGCCCCCCACTTCAGCTCTGGGTATAGAACACACATTTGTGTGTCTAGCTTCTTACAGGTTTCTTTAGCATGAATGGACCTCCTCACCTGAATTTCTGGTATGTCTCTGATAAATAATGGTTCATAGATGAGAGGTGCTCATTTTCTCCCTCAAACAGCTTGTTAGAGGCTGCATGCTGAAGCACCTTGGCTACGGACCCCAAGTTTCTCCTCTGGTCAGAGTTGATCTGCCCTCCAGCTGTCATGTCAATGATGTCAAAGCCATCTGGAGCCACGATGGCTGGGTTCATGTACCGGTAGTACAGGAGGTTTCCAACAATCTGACAGATGCACAAGGAAAAGACCATTGTTTTAAAGAGAGAAAACTTGAATTCATTTTTTTTTCTTCCTGAACACATATATTCATTTACATTTCCCAAGAGAAAGTGGGGCATTTTCTGATTTTTTTGGGGGGGGAGGGGATGGTACGGGGACCTCCTGCTCTCACTTACTTTTTTGGTCAAGGCTAGGTCTCTACTGCTTGAGCCACAGCCCCACTTTTGGCTTTTCTGCTGGTTAATTGGACATAACTGTCTCTTAGACGTGTCTGCCTGTGCTGGCTTTGAATGATCTTCAGATCTTTGCCTCCTGAGTAGCTAGGATTGCAGGTGTGAGCTGCTTGGCACCTGGACTGATCTGAATCTTAACAAAGCATTAGGTAAAGGCAATGAAAATATGCTAATAAGAAATTATTTTTGATTAAAAACTGCCTCCAAAATGCATTAAAAGAATTGCAAGAATGTCTAAGATTTCCAAATTAACTTCTGCCTAATGAATTTTGAATCTATTTTTTATTATTATAAAGATGATGTACAGAGGGGTTACAGTTGCATAAGTCAGGCAATGAATCCTACATAATCTTGACAGTCAGAAATAGAAGACCTGTAGCTGCTTATCAATGGTCAGACATGGGGGGAAATGCTTATGAAATGGTCTGTTGGCAATTTTGGCTCAGGCCCCCAGGGAGAAGCTGTGGTGAGATTACCCTTGAAAAAAATCTACCTTTAATAGCTCATCTTCTGTTGCATCAGGAAATTTCTCATGGATCGAATTCTTCAGTACTTTGGCTATATACCTCAATCCATAACTACATGTAAAACAGATGACAAAAGAAAATCATGGAAAATGGCTAAGTGAGGGAGAAACACACCACAAATGTTCCAGTCAGTTATAGCTGAGCAGTTTCCCTAAAAATTCAACGCAAAATGAGATGGGGATGGAATCACAGAACTTCCACTGATGATAACACCTGAGTACTGTTTGTGGCTACAACCAAAGTATTGCTCCTTCTTCTGCGAGTAATTATGCATTTAAGAAGTTAAGCGTAGGCCATCTTGGTGATGTTTGTTTTTTGAAAGTTTCCATACATAGCCCAGGTTGGGGATAGAACCCTCTACATAGCCCAGGCTTGTCTTGAACTTATATCTCTGTCTTAATCTCTTGAGTACTAGGATTACAGGTGTGCCCCACCAACACCTGGCTAAAACCCTCTTTTACAATAGCAAATACAGTCTGAAGGAAGATTCCTGTCTTCACTACCACAGCTAACTTCCAAGAACTTCCAGAAACTAATGTTAAAATTGCTACAAACCCAACTTACGGCAATAGATCAAGAGAAGAAATAATAGAGTTCAAGACTTTGTCAGTGACCCTTCTCAGGTTCTCAGTGGATGTGTCCAGTTTATTTTTCACTTCTGGGTATGTTAGAGCTTGTTCTGTGGTTACATCATAAGGCAGCTTGCTGAAAACACAACAAAGGGTTTACATTAACTGAAGGCTGAGGTATGAGCACTGTGTTCTAGTGTGGACTCTAGTCAAGCTATAGTGAAGTGAACAGAAAGGAGCTTTTGCTAAGTGAAAAATAAAAGGCAGGGCATGTGATTTCTCCCTTGTCCCTCCCTCCTTTCCTCCCCATCCTTCCCTTAGGAGTTCTGCGAGTTAAATTCCAGGCCTGTGCATGCTAGGCAAGTGCTCTACACCATTGAGGTACACCCCTAATCCCTTTCTTTACTTAAATAATAAAAAGAAAACAGGGCCTATGGCTCATGCCTGTAATCCTAGGTTGAGATCTGAGTGTCAAGGTTTAATGTCAGTCCAGGGAGGAAAGTCTATGAGACTCATCTCCAATTACCCACCAAAAAGCCATAAGTAGAACTGCAGTTCAAGTGGTAGAGCACCAGCCTTCAGTGAAAAATCTAAGGAACAAAATGCCCAGGTCCTGAATTCAAACCCCAGTACTGGCATCCCCCCCAAAAAATCAAATGCAGAGACAACTAATTCTCATAGCTCATTACATAACTTTCTAAGGCTTCCTCCACAATGCAATCTGTGCACATATACATTGCATACAGATACTATGGACATGCATGTACACATGAGCAATGAGACAGGGTCTCATTATGTATCTCAGGCTGGCCTCAAATTCATAATTCTCCTGTCTCTTCTCCCCAAATTACTGGTATTATAGGCATACAACACCATGCCTAGACACAGGACCAATTTTATTTTGAAAAGAAAATGGGCTATTGGACCTTGCTGCATTTGAAAAAATAAATCATGAACATAATTTCTGTGCCAATAAATGCCTGTAAAACCATTCCAAATAGTCATGCACTCTATTATGTGTTCTGTAAACATTTAATTAATCAATCCTTCAAAGCTAAATATTTGCCTTTTCACTATTACAAACAGTCCTGTAATGTCCACCCACACAGTTCTTGCAGCATATCTGATTTTTTTTCATAAGACAACTTTTTGCAGGAACTCAAAGCTAGAATTAGTTAGGTACAAAAACTACCACCCAGAATGAGTCCATCCTACCTGGATTATGGCTATACAAGTAGAATGTACTCACTAGGTAATTAAAAAAGATTTTTGGCAAGTGAGAGAAAGTGTAAGCTGGGCGCTGGTGGCTCACACCTGCAATCCCAACTACTCAGGAGGCTGAGATACAAAGAGTCCAGTTCAAAGCCAGCCCAGGCAGACAAATCTGAGAGACTTTTATCGCCAATTAACCAGCAAAACCTTCAGTGAAAAAGCCAACCAAAAGTGGTAGGCCTTGTGTTAAGCCCCAATCTCAGCAGGAAAAAAAAAAGAATAAAGAATAAAGAAAGGACAAGAATTACAGAATTTGAAGTATTGGAAAATATGATTTGAAAATATGATTTTGCATCATGATGACTAACGTCTAAAATGTGATATGCACATTAAAAACAGATTGTTCTTTTTCTTTTGGTGTCAGTCCTGGGGCTTGAACTCAAGGCTTGAGGCTGTCCCTGAGTTTTTTGTGCTCAAGGCTAGCACTCTACCATTTGAACCACAGCTCGATTTCTAGCTTTTTTGGTGATTCATTGGAGATAAGAGTCTCACAGACTTTCCTGCGTGGGCTGGCTTTGAACCTTGATCCTCACGTCTCAGCCACCTGAGTAGCAGAAGTTATTGATAGGAGGCATAAGCCATTGGCACCAGGCAAAAAGAGATTTTTTTTTTATTGGTTGTGAGGTTTGAACTCAGGGCCTAAGTGGAAATAAGAGTCTCATGGATTTTCCTGTCCAGGCTGGCTTCCAACCGTGATCCTCAGATCTGTCTCCTGAGTAGCTACGATTACAGGTGTGAGCCATACTGGTACCTGTCCAAAAACAACAACAACAAAAATCCAAGAACAGATTTTTTTTCCAGTATTTTTTTTTCCTTAAAAGAGTTTTAAGAATATATACAAATCGACGTGATTATAAAACACAATTAAAAAACAAAGCAAAATGAAAACCATAATTGAAAATCGCTGTCTTCTGACATGGTTACCTGGCCTCTCCTGTCTGTGTTTCCAGCTGGTTCACCCATGCCTTGTACACCTCTACGGGGTTGGTATTGATGATCAGGGACTTGTCATCAATGATCTCCTTTACCACTGGAGCCAGGAGCTGGCGCAGTGTGTTCTGACCCCGGGCACCTCTGTTGAAACTGACGACCATCTTGATGACTGTAGGGTTTCCAGTGACTATTTCTTGTACCTGGTCCACCTTTGATCTAAAAAAGCCCAGCCAAAACCAAAAACCAAACAACAACAAAAAAACACAAACAACAAACAGAAAACAACATGGTTTGTTTCTGTGGATAGTTTTAAATACCATTTCCTCTTCCTGGTAGCAATAATTTTGTCGAATTATACATTTTACTTTGTGAAGGTGTGATTTTGATTTTTTTTCCCCCAGCTCCTAGGGCATGAACTCTGGGCCTAAGCAATGTTCCTGAGCTTTTGGACTCAAGGCCAGCACTTTACCACCTGAGCCACAGCTCCATTACCAGCTTTATGTGGTTAATTGTAGAAAATAGTCTCATGAACTTTCCTGGCTTCAAACGTGCAACCCTCAGCTCTCAGCCTCCTGAGTACAAGGATTACAGGCCTGAGTCACTGGCACCCCCGTGCCCCCACTTGATTTCCATCATTTCTAAAGCATCTGTTTCTTATGTAAACAATTTAAGGATTTCAATTACCTTCTGCCTCTGATAAAAATGACTGAAAATGGAGCAAGTTTAACACTATCGAATGTTAACTATTAATGTACTGAACCTCCTCTAGTTGCCCCATTTCAGACATAACTTTCTGAACTGCCTCCACATCTTTTGATCCTGCTCCTGGGATTCAGCCACAGCTCATGGCTGAGTTGCTATTGATCCTATATCTGACACTTACGGCTTCTTGCCTGTACAAGAGGACCCCTCGTCTCCTGGGGAACCCCTGTCCTTCCTCTCTCTCGGCCACTCTCACCCTTTCAACTTCCCTTCCCTTCAGTGTCTGGCAGTGTCTGACAGCGCTGATAGCCCTATTCTAGTACTTATCTTACCGAGACATTCCTTTTTATTTCCTTTGCTGGCTCCCTTTCCACTTTTAAATTCGGTTTTCTTTTCCCTTTTGACTAATTCATACAATTAGTAAATAGATAGGGTGAAATCAGTGGTTCAATAAAACAATAGCTGACCCATCAAAATCCTGTTATACCCATATTCTTTGCTCAGACCCCCACTCACTAGATACGTTCTCATTGAGACCGGTCTTCTGCTCTTAATTTTCCTTTCTCTCTTTCTTCCTTTTCCTCCCATTTCTTTTTTCCTCTTTCCTTTCCTCCATCTCCTTTCTTTCTCTCCTTCCTATATCTCCAAGCTATATCTCAAGGTTTTGGGCCAATCAGCCTTTCTCTTTCACTTTAGCCAGTTGGAAGCTTTCTTCCCATTGGTTCAATCTACTCCATCTGCTCATGATAATACAGCAGAGTTTTACAACTTCTCCTGAGTCAGGCATGGCTCCAGCCCTGGCTTGGAGATACACCAAGGGTGCCATGCCTGGTTCACATGCTTCCGAAGCCTGAGGAACAAGCAGAGTCTGTGACTCAGGAAATCTGGAAGGTGAGGAAGGTCCACCTCAGCTTAGGACATTTTTCATGCCCTTTTGAAGGGCCCATTATTTAGCCATCTTCATTTTTTACAAAACAATAATAGACTCAGAAAATAAATGAACAAAGGTAGCCAAAGTTCTAGTAAGAAGGGAAAACCAATTCAGACAGACAGCATGATCTCTATCCACTTAGATGCAGTTTTTTTTAACTCAGAGAATTTTAGTACATTTTCTTCACTGATTTTCAGTAAGCTTCATGCTTCCAGTTTTGCTGATATAGAACATAAAAGCTTAACTGCACCCCAGAAAAGGGTTCACTGGTGGGCAGAAAGTGTAGCTGAATATAGCTCTAAAAAGTGGAAATCTGACAATTCAGAGTGCATTTTATTCTTAGGAAATCTGATAGGTTTAATTATGTACAATAATTTCAAAGTTACTTTAGTAAACCTGAACTAGCCACCCTTGTTGAAAATGACCTATACATCGGTATTTTTATACACCTACTTATATACGTACTTTATTTCTTCCTCCAGAGCAGCTTTAAAAAGCTTGAGGAGTAGGTACTCTTCTCGCTGATTAGAGGCATAATTGTACAGTGTGAAAATAACAGTGTCCATAAATTTAGTCGACTTGTTCTGTGGCATTTGGAAAATCAGCTTAGCCAGGTATAAAGGGTTGGTCTAAAGAGGGAAGAAAAAAAATATCCCCCCCCGCAAACTATATGTTAATACATTATAGAAACAGAAAGTAGTAATTGTCTTCAATGACTTGTGTCATTAAAAGCATAGAGATTAACATATGGAATATAAGACTTTCAAAAGTATTGGTTAATATTGTACAGATAGCTCTATTTAAGTATTACAAATTCTCTGGCATCTTTACTAGAATATACAATAATCATCTATATACTTTATATGGCGCACCCTTTGGAATCACACATTCATCTTCACTGTAGAGATGCAGAAGACAGGTAGGTGAGCTCACCGAACTCCGTATCCAAAGAGACCAGCAAAAGTGGGCGAAAGGCACAGCTACATAGACTGGTCCAGTATTGATGGATGAAGAGGAAAAACATATAACAACTGAGACCAGACAGAAAAGGTTATGCTGTGTGTGGACAGAGTGAGGTAGCCACAAAGCTTGCCAGACAGTGAGTGAGCAGGGAGGCTGGCAGAAGCCGAAGAGAAGGCAAAGGTCAGGAGAACTGGTGAGGAGAGTTCTAGGGGAATGTAACCCAAACCTAAAGAGCAAAAAGGAATTCAAAAGAATGATCAGGAATGAAAACTGACACAGAGTGTCCGGGATCCTACCAAGGATAGGTAGAATAAAGAACCAGCTTTCACCGCTACAGGGACTGTCTTCAGCAGCGACTACACTGATAAGGTGTGGCTGTAAGAGAGAAACAGTACAGAGGGAAGAATCTATACAGAGAAATTCCTTCTGCCAAAAAGATGTTTAATTTGCAGCTAGAAATATAACTCTAGAAGTTTGGCTTTAAGGTTTTTAAGAAAACTAATTGCTGTTTTTCATGACTACTTAGGCTTACATTTTTTTTCTTCTTTTTGGTGATACTGGGGGTTTGAACCTAAGGCCAAGCCTTGAGCTTGTGAGGCAGGTTCTGTAACTTTGGAGCCCAAGTCTCCAGGACTATAGGTTCACACTTGAACTCATAATGGTTAACATTTTATGCGTGAGAAACTCAGGACAATGTTTTCTTGACAGCTCTTCTGTTGGGATTCTTTCCTGACTCTACCCAAGCATCGGGAATTGTGAGAAAGGAAACTCACTTGAGGACCAAAGAAAGAAGCATTCTCACATCAGGAGATCCCAAGCTGAACCTCCATTTATAACAGTGTATACAATGTAAGACTTAGGCCGATGATTATTTTTTCACTTTTCTCATGACAGTTCTGTCAAGTTTAGAAAAAACTGAAGAAACTGCATAAACTTGGAATTTATAGATGCAAAGAAAAGACAAATTCTCAATTGACAGTTAATGATTGCTTTCCAAGAAGCGGAGCAATACTTAACCATCCATCCACCCATCCATCCATTCATCCAACCAATCAACTAACCAAATACCAGCAAAACCAAAAACTTTCCTTCTCCAGTGACCCTTTTGTTTCTAAAAGGCTTCTGGGATTAGCAACAGGCTCCACAGACAAGTCTAACTAGCATTTTTCTTCATATGCTGCCACCTGGTGGCCAGTAGAAGTACTTATGTCTGTTTGAAGAAGTACGCCAATCTCTTGTTTCAGAGAATCCTTAACTCTACCAAAATTAAGATCTTGTCTTTCAGTGGAGCTAGCCACAACTCTTGTTTGTGGTTTTCATAATGTGTTTTTCTCTATACATTTGCTTCTAGTGATATGTTCAGGTAAAGATTCAGGTTTTGAATCCCATACTAGGGATATCTAACCCTCACAGCAAGAACTGCTGATCCACCTCTTGCTAGTTTCTACCTGTCACTATCACCCACCTATGTGCCTAAAATTGTATATACTAGTAGGGTGGCCAGGGTAAATCAATGGCAAAGGGAAACAATAATCATTCTACCAGAGTCCAAATGCAGCCAACGGAACATAATTAGTTCTTGCCAGAATTGTAAAAGCAATGTAAGGATCACAATTCATTTCGGTAACAGTGGTGCTATGAATATAATGAAACAGAACATCACCAAATTTTCCTAATCCTGGTGCTCTGAAGGCTCTGTTCCCTGAACAAGGACAGACTGGTCTGTAAAGATCTGTTTTGCTCAATGACTTCAGTCTCCCATGGTTAACCACTTCTGCTGGTCACTGTTAGATTCCTACTGGAGATCGCAGTAGCATACGAACACAGATGATAAAAAAACATAGATGATGAAGTCAAACTACCCGAGTTCTGCTCTGTCATTCACTGGTGGAGTGTCAGTATTGTTATCAGCAACATGGGAAGGATGACAATTGACAACCTAGCCTTTCCCAGTTCCTAGGAGTTACAGTAAGAATTAAATGACATAATGCATGGAAAGCACTTAAGGCAGTGGTTGTACTTCGTAGGTGCTGTAGGTGATTACTGTAGAAGCCTGGGGAAAGACCCAGTGTAACCCACAAACATAAGGCAGTGTGTTTATTCCAAACTCCCAGACAAATCGTGCTCACCTGTAGAAGGTAAAACAGCTGCTGGTATGTCTCTAGTGTTTTCCTCCGTTCTTTACTAAGGCTTTTGATCCCCTGGTTGTCGGTGTTATTCAGAAGTTCCAGTTCTCCCTTTTTCTTATTCAGCTTTTTTCTATGTGAGATTACATCCTGTGAAGAATTGTTATAACATAACTACCTTTGATTTGGGTACCTCTTACTTTCTCTCTCGCACACTGCCCTGCAGCACACACAGTTGAAAGCCTTCATTTTCTTCATTAGGAAACAAAGAGATAGAGTGTTAAGGAAATGCAAAGGGAATTTGGCTTTTGTAATAATACATGTCCTCCAAGGCTAGGTCTGTTTGCTCTTAGGATTTAATGTAGTCGCCAAGCCAATGCAATGAAAGAACAGTGTTTACCAAATGATGCTGAGGCAACTGGATATCCACATTCAAAAGGAATCTGACTCCTGCCAGACAGCATAAACAAAAGTAACTCCAAAGAGATCAGAGAACTAAATGTAAGAACAAAACCAGTAAAACTTTTTTTTTTAAAGAACTAGATATAAACGTTTATGACTTTGGAATAGGCAATAGTTTCTTAGCTATGACACCAAAAACACAAGTGATAAAACAAAATGAACTAGACTTGATAAAATTAAAACCTTATGTAGTTTAAAGTATACCATCAAAATAACAAGACTACTCACAGGATGAGAGAGAGTATTTGTAGTCCTGCCTGTATTAGATAAGATAGTCGTATGCAAAATAAATAAAATAACATACAATTCAAAAATAGAAGACAAATAGCTCAAAAGGATAAAGGATTTGAATGAATATTTCATATATATATCATATATATATATATACAAACACACACATATATGGCTAAGAAAGTACGTTAAAAGACACTATTTTTGGCTAGTAGAGAAATGCAACTCAAAACTACAAAGAAAATATATTTTCTTTTACAGTAAAAGAAATAATAGCTGGGTACTGGTGGCTTACACCTGTAATCCTAGCTACTCCGGAGGCTGAGATCTGAGGATCGTGGTTCAAAGCCAGCCCCAGCAGGAAAATTCCGTGAGAATCTTATCTCCAATAAACCACCAGAAAACCAGAAGTGGCGCTGTGGCTCAAGTGGTAGAGTGCTAGCTTTGAGCTGAAGAGCTGAGGGACAGTGCCCAGGCCTAGAGTTCAAGCCCCGTGACCAAAATAAATAAATAATAAAAATATTGTTTTAGGTACTATATTAGGTTCCCCTGCCTTTATTCTTCAAAACACATTTAGTGGCTGTTAGACATACAAGCTAAACTAATTCTATGGCCCTCAGTAATTTTTTTTTTTGGTTACTTCTGTATTACCACAAAAAAACCTTTGACTGGCTATACTTACTATCAAACAAGACACGTTACTATCAATAACAAAACTGAAGGCTATACAGTTCATAATCATTCATCTAACCTCTAGATACACATTTAACTTCTAATAAATGTTAGATATATATTTGGTATCTAAAAATATACCGATAAATTTTTATTTTATTTTTTAAATTAAGATGGGGTCTTGCCATGTTGCTCACGCTGATTCCAGATTCCTGGGTTCAAGCAGTTTTTCTGTCTCAGCCTCAGTGATGGGGATTCTGAGATTTTGAGGCTAGCTCAAATAATTTAACTTTGCCTCATAATGCTATCTAGGAATAAACTTTACTTTTAGAAAGTAAAGCAAACCCTCAAATATTCACAGAGGCTTTCTACATCTGCCAGTGGTTATATTTCCAAAAGAGCACAATATTTAAACTATCTACTGATGTGAACTAAGCCTTTATTTGAAAAAAAAATCAAGATATTTACTGTTTGCAAGTTTATGGGGTAGAATACAAGAGTAGTTTAAGGCCATAAAAGACATTCCATACAGGATCTTCTGGAATAGAGTCTCCTTTAAAACTTTTTATGGCAACAAATAGTACAAATACATGATTTCATAAAATGATGAAAACAGTTAAATATGGAACCTTGAAATAGCTTGTTCTGTTTTTGTTTTTGCTGGTGATGACCATGAATTCAGGACCTAGTGCTATCCCTTAGCTTCTTCTGCCCAAGGCTAGTGCTCTACCACTTGAGCCACAGCTCCACTTCTGGCTTTTCGATAATTTATTGGAGATAAGTGTCTTACAGACTTTCTTGCCCGGGCTTTGAACTGTGATCCTCAAATGTCAGCCTCCTGAGTAGCTAGGATTAAAGGTGTGAGTCACAAACACCCAGCTAAATAGCTTTAATTAAAACAACAACAAACTTTTGAGTACTTAGGAAACACACTCATTTTCTATGTTATAAACTGCTCTGTTTTCCTTATTGTCTCCTCAGCTTGTTCCGTGGGGTCTTTACTGGGTCTTGAGGACAGGGATGGGCATTCGCAGGCCCCTCACAGGGCCTGGGGACGGCTCATCTTCCGGCCAAGCAGAAGAGCGCTCAGTCACTAGCAGTGGTGCTCCACAGCTCACCCGCCCCAGCCCCTCCCAGCTTGTAGAAGGCTAGCTTTCCTCCATGACCAGTCAGTTTTCTGAAAACAGATGGGGTGCATTGAAAAGGAAGTGGGACATAGAGAGATGTCTTACCCTAAAAATTTGTTCTACAGTTTAAAAAAAATAACATTTATTTTTTTGTGCAGTTACTGGGTCTTGAACTCAGAGCCTTGTGTTCTCACTTAGTTTTTCCACTCAAAGCTGGCATTCTACCACTTGATCCATATCGCTACTTGTAGCTTTTGGCTGGTTAAACTGGTGATGAGAGGCTCATGGATTTGTCTTCCTGGGCTGATTTGAACTGCAATCCTCTGATCTTAGCTTCCTTTTGAGTGGCTAGGATTATAGGTCAGAGTCACTGGTACCTGCAAAATGACTACTTTGAGACTTTTTGTTGTTGTTGGTAATGGAGCTTGAATTCAGGGCCTAGATGCTATCCCTAAGCTCCTTTGCTCAATGCTAGTGCTCTATCATTTTGAGCTACAGAGCCACTTCTGGGTTTTTGTTGTTGTTTTGTTGTTGTTGGTGTTTTGGTTGGTCCTGGGGCTTGAGCTCTGGGCTTGGGCATTGTCCCTGAGCTCTTCAGCTCAAGGAGAGCGCTCTACCGCTTGAGCCACAGTGCTACTTCCAGTTTTCCAGCAGTTTTTCGGAGATAAGAGTCTCATGGAGTTTCCTGCCCGGGCTGGCTTTGAACTGCTATCCTCGAACTGCTATCCTCAGATCTCAGCCTCCTGAGTAGCTAGGATTACAGGTGTGAGCCACTGGCACCGGGCTCAGCTTTGACACTTTTAAGGAGCTCTGACATTTGTAGGTTTCACAACAGATACAAACCCCCAGCATTTTTATTTGGATGTGCTCATGGGCGCCATGCATTCCCATATGCAGGGGTGTTTTAGGATGTCTTAATCGGGAGGCAACTTGCTCGTCAGGATCTGTTGCCTGGCAATTGGCAGGGAGGTCCTGGGTAGATAATAATGCCCCCTCCCCCAGATGGCAGAACTTTTGAATGTCTTTCTAGTCATTCACGTAGGTCAAGATGCTGTTCTGTAATTATCTGAGCTTAGAATCCGTCTTACACATATGCACAATACATTTTCTCCATACAGACATTTCAACACACGCTGAGGTTTCTGGACTGCAGGCGCTGTGTACATCGAGGCAGGCCATATGACTTTGCAAGGCATGGAGTCGGCCTGCTGTGTCCTTCAGCGAATGCATCACGGTCCTCTGTAGCCTCTCATTCCATGGTGACACCAGGAAGAGTCCCCTGAGTACCGAGTGACTACCAAGTCTTCACATGTCATCTGGCTCATGTATTTTCATATTAGAGCATTTTTTCTGTGATTTTTAGTTAGCATACATTTATTGTACAAGGGAATTTCATTGTGACATTTCCATCCATGAGAAAGTATATTTTTAAAATGCAGAATTACTTTTCAAGTTTGTAAAAATATAAATGATTTAGTTTTTTTTTTTGGTGCCAGTTCTGAGGCTTGAACTCAGGGCTGTCCCTGAGCTTTTATGTTCAAGGGTAGTGCTTTATTAACTGAGCCAGCTCTACTTCTGGATTTTTGATGTTAAATTAGGGGACAAGAGTCTTATGGACTTTCCTGCCTGGGCTGGCTTTGAACTGAAACCCTCAGATCTCAGCCTCCTGAATAGCTAGGATTACAGGTGTGAGCCACTGATGTTTGGCTTAGAAACATAAATGCCTTAGTTTTATTACAAAGGTTTGTGTACAGTCAATTGATTACAGATTCTGAGCTAGACCACCATGCAGTGAGAGCTTCTTTTCTGTGCTGCTGGCAGCTGACAGTCTCCTGTTCCCTCCCTACTGACCTCCAGCGTGATCCTGTTCTTCACCAGAAGTCCAATCTTGATGTCCATCAGGTTGAGGTCTTTCTCCAGCTGCTGATTAGCCCTGATCTTGGTCACCACTTCCTCTCTTAATCGCGCCACCTCCAGCTCTTCCTGGAAGTCCAGGTCACTTTGTTCTAACAGATGTACAAACTTGCGGACTACTGTTAATGGTGGGTTTTCAGAACCAACTGAGGAGAGAAGAACAGGCACACTTGACATATCAACAGGAAAGAAACCAGGTCTGCAAAAAAGTATTACCAGTAAAAAGATACCAGTGGCAGGACTTTGTGGAGTGAATTATTCTGGATTCTGTAAAATCGGGACAGGGAAAGTCATATAAATAAACACACATGGTGGATAATGTCTTGTGTCTGAGCTCATTACTTCTAGTTATCTAACACTCCTTTATCAGCCCTTTCTCACACTGTTCCAAAGACTCATGCTCTGAGAAGATAGGACTATCTGTGCCTTAAAGTTGAGGGAAAGAAAGCTAACACAGTGACCTGGACTCTGAGACCTGGTGGCTGAGCCAGATAAGGGATTAATAGTTGGCTAGCAGGAAGCAGAAAGTGCTATCTCTAAGCACAAAGGGCCCTTGGGAAGGAGCTGGAACTAGGTGAAAGCTGACCCAGTAAGGGTCATTAAAGAGAATTGTAAATGTCAACCCACAATCAATCAAATAATGAGTGGATGTTCTACTTGACAGAAATAGAAAGCTTTTACAAAGTATATGCCCTTATTGTATAGAACATGGGAAGGAGCTGAGGATAAGGTGTGTATAGAAAAGGAAATATATTTTTGCTGGTCATGGGGCTTGAACTCTGGGCCTGGGCGCTGTCCCTGAATAATTCCACTCAAGGCTAGTGCACTACTTGAGCCACAGTGCCACTTCCAGTTTTTTCTGCTTAGTGATGCTGAGGAATCAAACCCAGGGCCTCATGCATGCAAGGAAAGCACTCTACCACTGAGCCACCTTCCCAGCCCCCTGAGTATATTCTTTTTTTGGGGGGGGTCCGGTCGTGGGGCCTGAACTCTGGGCCTGGACGCTGTCCCTCAGCTCTTCAGCTCAAGGCTAGCACTCTACCATTTGACCCATAGCGCCACTTCCAGCTTTTTTCTTTTTGCTTATACGGTGCTGGGGAATCGAACCCAGGGCCTCATGCATGCAAGGCAAGCGGTCTACCACTGAGCCACCTTCCCAGCCCCTCCCTCCCGAGTATATTCTTAAATTCCAAGAAGGCTTCTCATAGTAACTTCAACTTTATGCTTCAAAAAATTACTAGGTACTCTTGACTAGTGGGGGAAAAAACCTCACTTTTTTGGGGGGATCATGGGGTTTGAACTCAGAGCTTGGGTGATAACCCTGAGCTTTTTTTGCTCAAGGCTAGTGCTCTACCACTTAAGAGTCATAACACCGGAGGCTGGGAAGGTGGCTCCGTGGTAGAGCGCTTGCCTTGCATGCCTGAGGCCCTGGATTCGATTCCTCAGCACCACATAAGAAAAAAGCCGGAAGTGGTGCTGTGGCTCTACCAGTGCTAGCCTTGAGCTGAAGAGCTGAGGGACAGTGCCCAGGCCCAGAGTTCAGGCCCCACGACCGACCCCCCCCCAAAAAAAAGAGTCATAACACCACTTCTGGTTTTCTGGGGCTAACTGGAGCTTAGATTCTCACGAACTTTCTTGCCTTGAACTGTGATCCTCAAATTTCAGCCTCCTGAATAGCTGGAATTACAGGTGAGCCACCAGTGTCTGGCTAAAAAACCAACTTTTAAAAAGCATGCTTAATGCAAACAACAGTAAAGATTAAGAATAAACTATCTGGGATGAACAATTAGGACCATTAATAGAGCTGGACCACTGGCTCACACTTAGAATCCTAGCTACTCAGCAGGCTGAGATTTAAGGATCCTGAAGCTTCAAAGCCAGCTTAGTCAGAAAAATTTGCAAGACTCTATAATTAACCAGCAAAATGTTGGACTGGAAGTGTGGCTCAAGTGGTAGAGCTCTGGCTATGAAAAAGCAGAGTGAAAGTGTATGACTCTGAGTTCAAGTCCTGGTACCAGAAAAAAAAAAGAAGAAATAGTAAAATAAAAATGACTTAAAAGGTCCAGCTATGCAATCTCAATGAGGGCTTGCTCATCTAGGGCCAGTTGATCTTCCTTGTACTGTTAGCTTGGTTCTGTGCGGTTCTGACTCTCAAAGGACAACAGTTAAACCAAAAGCACAATTCTTAGCATGAACTCAGCATGGACAACCAAATATAGAGTCATTTATGTTACTATTTTGTTAACTTCTGCTGGTCTTCATGAGAGAAATGACTGATTTGAGGTTTATCACTTTGAGGTTATATCTTTGGGAGATGAGACAGTGGGTTTTTTTAAATTTGTATTTCCAGCCTATATGAACATATTTTCATATAAAATATATGAACATATTTTATCCTTAAGATAGAGGAAATCATAAGCTAGCGATTACATTGAATAATTAACCTTTCCTTGTTCACTTTCTTTTACAATTGATTCTTTCTTCGATATAGCTCATATGTAATGTAAAAATAACAGTATTTATGTCAACTTCATTCTTTATCCAATTCTCTTACTCCTCCCCTCCCCCATCCCTGTCTCCCTCCACTTACAACAGGAAGGCCTGGTTGCTCTTTCTGCGCTTTAGATCAGACCTTAGAGCCTTCAATCACCAAAAGTCTTCTGGAGAAATTGGCATTGTGCTCTTTTCTGACACAGGCTCTGAAGCCACTAAGATGGAAAGTACTCATTTGTGGTGAGTAAGGAATCCAGGCTTGTTGGCGCGTGTGACCACTTACCTAGTGTTTTGTAGTCATCTCTAGCTTTGTTTGCTCTCAGGAGAGACTGTATTTTCACAATTTCATTTTTCTGCAAAACATGGAGACATGCCATGATTCCCCACTCCACCTGAGTCCCATCTACCCCACTATTTTAGAATTCAGGAATGATTAAGAATGGATACTAGCCAGGCCCAGCGGCTCACATCTATCATGCTTGCTTCGGAGGAGGCTGAGATCTGAGGTTTAGGGTTCGAAGCCAGTCTAGGCAGGAAAATTCTGGGAAATTCTTATCTCCAATTAACCATAAAAAAGCTGGAAAGTGAAGCTGTGGGCTCAAGAGGTAGAGTTCCAGCCTTGAGTGCCCAGGCCCTGGGTTAAAACCTTAGTACTGGCACAAAGAAGAAAGAAGAAAAAAAAAGGAGGAAAAAGAGGAGAAGGAGAAGAAAAAGAACAACAACTACTGATACTATGACAAAACAAATGCAGCATATTAAAGATAAATAACATACTGCAACTAAGAAAACCTGACACCATTTAAAACTGATGATATAGAGATGTAGTGCCTTCAACATGTATTTTTTCTTCCCTTTTTTTTTTTTTTGAAGAAGGGATCAAATTAGCTGTAAATATAAGCAAGACTATAGGGGGACTGTTTAAGTAAATGGTAGACCTATAAAGGGAAAAGAATTTTAGCCCAGAACTTAGATCCAATATGCATTCACCTATCCTTTGAAAATTCTGAAAAATTGGTGGGCTTCAATTTAAATAAGTTAGTGGTTAAGAAAAGTGTACATTCTTCACTAGAATATATATATATTTTTGTCAGTGATGGGGCTTGAACTCAAGGCCTGGGCACTGTTCCTGGGCTCTTTTGTTCAAGGCTAGCACTCTACCATTCTGAGTCTCAGGGCCACTTCTGGTTTTTGAGTGGTTATTTGGAGATAAGAGTCTTTTCCTTTAAATTTATTTTTTTGTTACCCCTTCCCTTGTTTTCTCCTGCTATCCCTCTTCCCAACTCCCCTCCCTCTGAAGCTGTAAAATTCATTTCCAACATAGTGGCTTGTGAGTAGAAGAGTCTTTTCGAGACTTTTCTGCCCTGGCTGGCTTAGAACTGTGATCCTCAGATCTCAGCCTCCTGAACAGGGCTGAACCATGTGCGCCCGACCTTCTCTAGAATCTTATCTTTGGTATTACTAGTCTACCCTGTTTTCCTGTGGCTTATTTTCTCTCTCTTCCTGACTGGTGAAGTTTGAGTTTCACTGCGATTTCTGAACTGTACAGATCAATCGTCCTTGGCTCTCAGGTGTATTCATTTTGTTTTTTTTTGGTTGTGGGGCTTGAACTCGGGGCCTGGGTACTGTCCTTAAGCTCTTCAGCTCAAGGTGAGCACTCTACCACTTGAGCCACAGCCCCACTTCTGCTTTTCTGGGGGTTAGTTGGAGATAAGAGTCTCACGGACTTTCCTGCCCGGGCTGGCTTTGAACTGGGATCCTCAGATCTCAGCCTTCAGAGTAGCTAAGATTACAGGCGTGAACCACCGGTGCCTGGCTTTCAGGCATATTCTTTTGTAAGTGGTGATTTCTACCATGTAAGAAAAAGCAGCCAATGCTAACTTTCAGCATGCATTTATCTTGCTCCTTTGCAACCCAGCTGCAAGCCCATGTGCATTTCCCTTACGTGATCTTTGAAGTACTGCAGTCGTGAGAGGTAATTCTTCCTTGCTGCTGCCATCCGGAACCAGGACTGGATCTAAAATACAGTGGAACAGAGAAACCAAGGCCATCACCAAGCAGTCCTGAATATCACTTATAAGAATTTCCTAAAAGTGCATTATTTGGTAACACCACATTGTTTTATTAAGGAGCTCGTGTACAGGGGATCATTCTCCATCTCAGTTTAAAGTGTCTTATAAACTCAGTCTCCTCTGCTTCCAATTCCTCTCCAGCCCTGCCCTGCTGTTCTATCATCTGGCTTTCTAAATTATCTGAAGTTTGTTTTTGTATAATTCTTTGACCTTTTGCTCTGTGAGAGGGGTCACCACAGTGCCTTTGCTATCTCTAGCTCAGAGTTATCTTCCTGCCTGGAAAATTGGGTTAGATTAGCTCAACATCAAATTCAGGACCCAAATTCCTCCTCCTGCCTCTCACTATTGGCTTTATGTTGGCTAAGTTGTTCAGCTAGCACGTTTGTATATTTCAGATATTATTAGAAAATTCAGTAAGAATAACAACAAATTCAACTCAGCAAGGGGATGTATATCCAGCTTTGATCATCATTTTAGATTTTCTAGACAAAGAGCATTTAGTGGTTATAAAAGTAATCCCTCATTTAGTTCTCATAACCACATAAAGGAGTAAAGAAGTTCACTGACTCATTAGACAAAGTGAGGATTCAAACTTAGGGCTGACCTTCAAGGCTCATACAAGCCAATAGCTCTCCTGGGGAAAAAGTTTACGTCAATCACCTGATTAGGTAGGGCTATTTACCTTCACAACAGAATCAACGTTGCCAAGGAACACTTGCTGCCTGCTCAGATAGTCTTTGCGTTGTTTTTGTCCCTTCCAATAAGCCTAAGGAAAAAAGGGGGTTATAGAATTATTAATAAGTAATGATTTCCCATAGTTGGGAAATCAGTTGCTGCTCGCACAGAAAGTGAGAGGTACTGAGCATTTGTAGAGGTACTGAACTGAGTCACCCTCAGGGGCCCTTCCCATCTCCTCTGGACCCTGTGTCAGCAGCAGATACCTCACTGGGGCACACACTGGACCCAGGTTGAGGAAAGCAGAACAAGGATGATTACTTACCAGGTAGGGGTCCAGTTGCCCATTCGATAGCTTAATTTTACCAAGGTCACAGGTGACAAAGGAATATAAGGGTATTTCCCTCACACACACACACAATTAACTAGGTGCTGGTACAATTTCATAACAACAGAAACTTCTGTAAAATCTGTGGGTGCTGATGGCTCACACCTGTAGTCCTAGTTACTCAGGAGGCAATCAGCATTGTGGTTCAGTCCAGGCTGGCTCCAATTTACCACCAAAAAAGCCAGGAGTAGAGCTGTGATTCATGGTAGAGCTCTAGCTTTGAGTAGAAAAACTAAGAGGCAGTGCCCAGGCCCTGAGTTCAAGATCAAGAACGGGTACAAGAAACACACTGAACAATTTTCTTTTGGCAGTACTGGGGTTTGAACTCAGGGCCGTGTGCTTGTCAGGCATATGATCTATCACTTTTGCTTTAATTATTTAAATTATTTAATTATTTTTGCCTAGGTTGGCTTCAACTGTGATCCTCCTGTTTATGCTTCATGCATAGGTGAAATGGCAGATATCCATCAGAGAGCGCCATTTTTACTCATTGAGAGGGGGGGCTTCTCATGAACTTTTTGCTGGGGTAGCTTTGAGCTGAAATCTTCCTCCTGATCTCAGCCTCCTGAATGGCTAGGATTTAAATAAAAAAGTACTGATCCATAGGCAGATGCAAAAATAACCCATGGAGTTTCATGAACCCTTCCCTCAGCTTTTCCCAAGGATAACATTTTACAAACACACTTTCAAAGCAGTCAGCAGTGGGGCTAGGAAACTATAAAAGGTCATTTCTTTGAAGGGAAAGGTAGGTCCTTTGAAGGGAATTATGCATATATCCAATTTAAAATTATATGCCTTTCACCTAGTATTTCTACCTTGCAATCTCTCTAGCCTAAGGAAATATACCAATGTTCATCTAAAGAGGAATGGCCAGATGCTGTATCATTACACAGCAGGTAGCAATGAGGAATGGCCAGATGCTGTATCATTACACAGCAGGTAGCAATGAGGCAGCCACATAGGCTATCAAAGTGTTCTGTATCTGGAGGAACAGAAGATCTAGAAGACATGACTAGGATAAAAAGCTATTACAGGTATTATGATGCCACACATGAACAATAAAAATATAGAAAACAATACATTTTATGCAAACTATCAGCCCAGGCCTAGATCTATTAGCAGTGGACACACAGCAAGGGTGTAACATAGAACATAACTGTGTATCTGCCTCTAATCCACCTAACTTCTATTTTGAACTGCTATTAGTGTTTGATTATGTATCCTTTGAAATATGCACAACAGGTGTGTGTGTATATATATATATATATATATATAAAGTATATCATGTGTAAAATACAAACCTATAAAAATATGTGTGCATTGTTTATGTAGCTTTTACTTTTTTAGCAAAATGGAATCTGACTATGTCACAATCTTCTTTCTCTAAACCATATATTATGGGCATTATTTCATATTTATTTCACAGTGTGATACAGAATAGATTTACTGTAACTTAACAATTCTCTTACTGATAAGCATGAATTTGACGCCATTTTCCTTGTGGTAAACAACTTTGGGCCCACCACTGTGACCATTTCTGCCCAGACAGATTCATAGGAAGGGGCTAACTAAGTTAATACTTCATAATGGCTACTTCCAGAATTGCTCTCCAAAGAATTATGGTAGTTATCTCTTCACTAGTGGACTCAATATACTCATAAGAATGGAAAGGTTAACGTTATCCAAACTGAAAGGACTTAATTCACATATTGATCTCCAGTAAAGATGAAAAAGAGACCTTATCTCCTTCCATAATACCTTTGTCCTTTTTCCACTTCTAAGACAATTGGTAATTGGTATTATATGTATGTGTGTGTGTGTGTGTGTGTGTGTGTGTGTATTTTTTTCTTTGTGCATGTGGAACCATACTGGACTTTCCATATCTAACTTTTTTTTTTTTTTGTCAGTTGTAGGGCTTTGAACTCTGGACTTGGGTGCTGTCCCTCAGCTCTTCAGCTCAAGGCGAGCGCTCTACCAGTTGAGCCACAGCGCCACTTCTGGTTTTCTAGTGGTTTGTTGGAGATAAGAGTCTCATGGAGTTTCCTGCCCGGGCTGGCTTTGAACCTCAATCCTCAGATCTTAGCCTCCTGAGTGCCTGGCTACTTTTTTTTTTTTTTTTTTAACTCAGGGCCTGGGCACTGTCTCTGAGCTTTTTCTGCTCTACCACTGTGAGCCATAGAGCCATTTCCAGTTTGCTGGTAGTAACTGGAAATAAGAATCTTATGGACTTTCCTGAGCGAAAAGCTTGAGGACATCAAACTGTTTTTACTCCTTCAGTTCTTTTCCCTTCTCAGTATCCCTAAATTCATTTGATTGTCCTCCTTAGAGTACTACTGGTAAGTAGTTCTCTAATTTCCTCTTTATTGCTAAAGGGTGTTTTTCTGGGCTTAGAACACTTGTTGACTATTCTTTTAGCATTTAAAAACTGTTATGTCACTTTCCATTGGTTTTAAAAACCACCACCATCGAAGTGACTTCCGGCCTTACAGGAGGAATTGAAGATCCGCAGTAAGCTGTCCTTTCTGACCATGCTGTGGCTGGGACTTCTTTGGGTTTGTCCTGTCTGGGATTTGCTCAGCTTCTTCAATGTGGTTTAGCATCTCTTGGCACACTACAGAACTTTTCACTCCTTATGTCCACAGGGACTTTCTTGGGGCTGTCCTTTTCTACTCTTTCTCTAACAACACAATTGGTACCGTCCACCAAGCACCGAGTCTCTCTTTACTATTTTTTTCAGTCTGTTTTCTTGGTTGCTTACACTTGGGGATTTCTATTGCTTTCCCCTATAATTTACGGAAATTCCTTTTCCCCCCCTTCCATTCTGCTGTTAAAATATCCAACTAAGTTTTTTCAATCTGTTATTAACTCCCACACTCCCTTTCCTTTTCGTTTTACAGTCCTGGAGTTTGAGATGAGTGTCTTGTGCTAGGCAGATGTTCTATCATTTGAGTCATAACCCCATTCCTTTTTTGTTTGAGTTATCTTCTGAGTGGGGTCTTGAATTTCTGCCCAGATGTGGCCTCAGACTGTTTTTTCTACCTGTGGCTTCCCGAGCAGGTAGAATGACAGGGACTGCCACCATGCCTGACTTATTGGTTAAGATAGAGTCTTGCAAACTTTTTGCCTGGTCTAGCTTCCAACTACAATTTTTCTGATTTTTTGCCTCCCAAATAGGATTACAGGCATGAGCCACCATACCCAGAATAAAATTATAGTACTGTACATTGGGACAGATTAATAAATAGAGATACTTATGACTGAACTGGAAAATTCACTATTTTTTTCAATCTCTTCATTCATGTTTTAACTCATTTCTTCAATGTTAATTTCAACTATATTCAGTATTTATTTCACATTCTGCAGGAATAGATTTATTTACATCCTAGATGTCATTATTTCTCTTAATCCCTACAGCTGGCAGCAGTCCTCATTTTATTCTATCACCTTACTTTGTTTCATTAAGTGTGTGTCATTAAATTCTTTGACAGCATAAAACAGTTTCAGGATAAATTCTTTCTGTCTTCTGGAAAAGTATCATTAGATATTCATTTATAGCTTATGCCTTTATATTACATGCCTTTTTCTCTTTTTGATATAAAAATTTCTTTTTCATTTATGAGATTTTTTTCCTGGCTCATTCATTCTCAAACTTAGGCAATGATAGTCTTTCTAGTCCTGGGGATTGAATTCTGTTTTAAATACTAGGCAAGTTCTGTACCATTGAGCCATACTTCCACTCCAAACTTATGCAATTTTATCAGTCTTCTAATTGCTCAAAATAGTATGGCAGGTGGGTGCTAGTGACATAAGTCTGTAATATAGGTCCAAACCAACCTGGGGAAAAAAGTACATAACACACCATCTCTAACCAGCAAAATGACAGACTGGAGGCATGGCTAAAGTGGTGGAGCACCAACTGTTAGCAAGCAAGCTGGGTAAGAACACAAGGCCCTGAGTTCAGGCTATGGTTAACCTTCCCCTTCCCACAACAAAAACCCCCCTAATTTGGCTGGGAGTATAGTTCAGTGCTGTATTGCTTGCCTAGTATCAGCTAGGCTCTTAGTTCAATTTGCAGCTCTTCAAAAAGACAAAACAAGGCAAAAACAAACAGATTCTTCTTGTCTTCCCCTCGTGTTGGCCTGGGCTACTGGTTTATTCCAGTAGCACTTAGCAGGTGGGATGGTGATTAGACACATTCTTACCCAGTTCCTCAGCAAGGGATGGGTGGCAGGCAGGGTGAGGGAGCCTGGGGATAGTTGCTCAGGCCTAGAAGATCTACTCCTGTATTTCTTTCCAAGGACTTGGTAAAATGATGTGTCTGGTCAGGGAATTAGAAAGCCTCTGCAGGGGGAAGTGCTCTAATACCAGACATTTCCCTACTCCAGGCTGAATTGGCCTGAAATAAGATGGACACAATTTGTCATTTGGCTCATGGTGTCTCTGTCTTTAGGAGCCAGTAGGTTATAGACAGCTATTTATTTCTGGTCCACAACTGTGAAATGGGCTTATCTTGAAACCTCATGCTTTCTTTGTCAGGCAACTGTCAGAGCAGTGAAATAAAGGCCTGGTGGGGTGAGTTCAGCATTTGATGGCCTCTTCTTCACTCCCACCTCCGGTGAGGTCGAGGAAAAGGCTCCATGTGGCCCTCTCAGGGTTTTAGCTTGAGTTCTAGTATCAGGAAATTCTGCAGTGGGAAATTCTTCAGTAACTTTCCCACTGCAATACTACTCCATGTGTATAATGTTGGAGAACACTGGGGTTGGCTCTAATTGTATCATATTAGCTGCCACCTTGAATTTCATGCAAAATTAGAGCCAAGATGGTTCTATTTGCTGGCTTTTGTTCACATCCTGTGATTTTTGTCTGCTATTTGTTTAAAAAAAGAATACACTGGAAACTCATTGGCTTACCTAAGAAACAATTTTTTCTTTTTGGTCAGTCATGGGGCCTGAACTCTGGGCCTGGGCGCTGTCCCTCAGCTCTTCAGCTCAAGGCTAGCACTCAACCACTTGAGCCACAGTGTCACTTCGGCCTTTTCTGCTTATGTGGTGCTGAGGGACTCATGCATGCAAGGCAAGCACTCTACCACTGAGACACCTTCCCAGCCCAAGAAACAATCTTTTGAGTGTTGGTTTTGTACCAGAGTTTTTCTTTTATAAAGTAATTTCTAAGCTGGGCACTGATCTCATGCCTGAATCCTAGCTACTCAAGAGACTGAGATTTGAGGATCATGGGTCAAAGTCAGACTGGGCAGAAAAGTCTGTGAGACTCTTATCTCCAATGAGCCACCAAAAAGCTAGAAGTGAAGCTGTGATTCCCCCGGTAGAGCATCGGCCTTGAGCAGAAAAAGCAAAGCGAGAGCACAAGACCCCAAGTTCAAGTTCCAGAAGTGGCACACACACACACACACACACACACACACACACACACACACACACACACACACACACACACACACGTCATTTCTGCTTGCTAACAACTTGAGAACAGCATTTATCACAAGAAGACAAAGTGTATAAAATCATTTTCTGCCCTGAACAACATTATATTGAGGCAGAAAAAGAAGATAAACTCGCGAAAGAATAGATTTGCAACCGAAGAGTTTTCAGTCTAGGAAATCTTGTGGTTATCTGCCAAAGCAAAAATTCACCAAACGTCCACAGTCGGCAACAGTTTTAGTGAGGAGAAAGGTCTAACCGCCTTTCAGAAGCTGGTATGGTAACTGGTGAAGATACTCAGGGACACCAAGAAAAAAATGCCTAAATGTAGCACATTCTTCCTTTCTCAACAACAAGATGTTAAGACATACAGTCTTTTGATCTTCTCTTCCTCCCCTCCTTAAACAAAACCCAAGAATTTCTCCTATAGGTTCAGAGGAACAGTGACTATAGTCACGGTGGTGTACAACTTGGTGAAAGTAGGAGGATCGATGTCTAAGACTGGCTCCACGCAAAAAGTGTGAGACCCTATCTGAAAAACAACTAAAGTAAAAAATGGCTGTAGGCATGGCTCATGTAGTAGAGTTCCCACTTAGCAAGTAAGCACAAGGACCTGAGTTCAAGCCCCAGTATAGTTCCCAAAGGCCCCCCACCCAATAAGCACGTGAGATTATAAAAAGGAAAAGACCCTCAGAGATGCTAAATCTGTGTCAGTTCATCTGTTTTTGAATTCTTAGAATTCAAAAGAATTCTTTTTGAATTCTTTTAGAAGAAGCTAGGTGCCGCTCAATATCCATTAGTCCTAAAACCTGTCAGGTGACACACAGGATCCAGCTGGTAAGAGAAACATGATTTCAGCTCTGATGTAAGCTGTCTTTTTAGTTCCAACTAGGTGACTGGCAGGTGGATCTGAACAAGTCAAATATGTCTAGGAAGCCATGGGTGAAAAGTCATTCATCATCAAGACATTTCTCTTCATAAAGGCTTTCTAAAGCAGACTAATGCTGGCTGATTAAGTAATACAAAAAAATCAGCAATCAGGATTATTTGTTAGAATGCTGACAGTTGACTGTCTCTTTTCAAATTAAACATTTTCAGGGGACAGGACATTTTTCTGCAAGGAGTGGCAGATGAGTCACATACCTGTATCTTGACCACATTTCCTATTTGATCACCCAAAAAGGATTTCCTAGCTTCAAACTCTTCCCTAAGGCTGGGTCCTGAGGTGGTGTCCTGGAAGCGAAGGAGCAAGTCTTCAGGAGCAGACCAGAGATGCTGACGGATGTAGTTTGCTGTGACTTCCTCAATGATGTCCTGGCAAGAGATAGTTCTTACAGTTACACGTCACACATCAGATGTAAGGGCAGAACAGCTTCTGAAAACTGCATCTCTTAGAAAATTGAAAATGGTATGGCTAGCTCTTTTTTCTGTTGTTGCTGGCTTGGTTTAAAGCATTTAGTTAGCGCGAAGGGATGAATTGGCTTAGCTTCTTTCTAGCGACGTGATTTGGAATCCTCTGAGCTTGGTGCCGAGGTGGCAAGATTGAATGATCACAGGATATGGAGGCAGAGATGTATGGTGTGGTGCTGGCAAAGATTAGGTGTGATGCTTGAGCCCCAGCATTGGAAAAGGGACAAGCATGCCTGGAGCTGGTGGCTCACATCTGTATTCCTTGCTACTCAGAGAGGACAAGATCTGAGTATTGAAGTTTCAAGCCAGCCTGGGAAGAGAAGTCCATGAGAATCTTATCTCTACTTAACCAGCAAAACCTTAGAAGAGGAGGTGTGGCTCAAGTTATAGAGTGCCAGCCTTGAGTTTAAAAGCTAAGCAAGAGCACTAGGCCCAGAGTTCAAGTCCCAGTACCTGCACAAAACGTGGGGAAGGGTCACAAGCATGCCTACTCTGAGAACACTGCCTTCCGATTCCCTTGGGTTGCAGGCAGTACCCACAAAGTCCTCAGGCTCCTCCATCCTCTCTCTTGCTCAGGTTGGAACAGAAAATTCACTGGAAATGCTCAAAAGGATGTGCTAAGGCAAATGAAGTATTTGAGGCAGAAGCAAAGGGAGAAGGAGAGGAAAGACAAGGGCACTCAAGGGCACAGGAGAAATCTAGAGAATTAATACTTTTAAAAAAAGGATTTGGAGGAGTTTTTTTTTTGGGCCTTGACTGGGTTTACTTCCATGTTTATTCTCAGATACAAGCAGAAAATCCTCTCAGAGACTCAGATACAGCTCAAGACTCTTATCCAGTGGAACTGGAACCAACAGCTGACTCATTTAAACAGTTAAAGTGAAATCATTTAAAGATGCATAAGCTTCTCCAAGAGAAGATGGGTTTATGTGTAGTCACTGAAAAAGATCCATATATTCAGCGTATTTAGAAGAAATACATTTCTCTCCACCACTTACTAATTCCAGCAGACAGATGTTCAGTAGAATAAAAACTTACATTGAATGAGTAGGAGCGATTTTGTGTGTGTGTGTATGTATGTACGCCAGTCCTGGGGCTTGAACTGAGCACCTGGGCACTGTCTGTGAGCTTTTGTGCTCAAGACTAATGCTTTACTGACTGAGCCTCAGCCCCACTTCTAGATTTGTGGTTTTGTTTTTTGTTTTTGTGCCAGTCCTGGGGCTTGTATTCAGGGCCTGTGCTTTGTTCCTGACCTTCATTTTGCTCAAGGCTAGTGCTCTACCACTTGAGTCACAGGTCCTCTTCTGACTTTTTTTGGTAGTCTAGTAGAGACAAGATTCTCACAGACATTCCTTCCCAGGCTGGCTTGAACCACAATCCTCAGATCTCAGCCTTCCAAGCAGTTAGAATTACAGGTGTGAGCCATTATCACCCAGCTATAGGAACTACTTTTGATACCGCATTTTAAATCTTCAATCCTGCTTCTTCCAAGTTTGCTATGTCTTTTCAGTCATGATATACAATCCTTTAGTATTGCCTATACTCAAAATGTTAGCACTAATAACCCACTGCTCCAATCTTCTTTGCCTAAAAACTATAAAAGCTTCAAACATTTGAAATTAGTAACTATGTTCTTCACTCTCTTCTTGTCATGCAGAATTTTTGTCATTAAGCAGTCTTAGACTCAGGCCACAATTTTTCTCTTCTCTTTAGAACTACTCTGATGTTATTGATTATCCATGATTCTGTTAGATCTGTATTTATGTCCATTTATGAAATGGAATTATTATCAGTATTTTCTGTTTAAACCTATTATAAATGCCTGGATCCATCAGCATGCCTTGTATCTTTTGGGCCTAATTTTTGGTTTTAAGTTCTAATCCATCTTAGTGAACACCTCTTCAAGATTATTTCCTTCTGAGAAGGATTACTTACTTTTTATAGGGCCTAAGTATTTGTGTTAGGTTTAGTCTATGTCTTGTCTTACTAATTCGGAGTGCTGGGCACATACCCAACCCTCAGAGACACTGGTGCCTGTGTCAAAAACAATGGCCATAGTGGGAGAGCAGAGACAGTTGACTAGACATTGGGGACACTGGGAATAAATTTCTGCTTATTGCTGAATTCTGTACAAATTCTAACCCAAGTTTCTTTATTCCTTCTGTGCCTTAATTCTCCCTGTAGAAAAATGGAAGATGCTAAATTGCTCTCTTGCTTCTTTGAGGATTACTTCGAGGATTGCCCTGAAAGGAAAGTGCAGTGGAAGGTAAAACTCTAACATGGGTGTTTGCCTGTTTGTGCTCTGATAAGACCTTATTTGCAATGTATGTATCTTTTAGGTAATTGTGGGCACACTAATGAAGAAAGATTACTTTTAACAAGGTGCTGGTGGCTCATGCCTGTCATCCTTGCTACTCAGGAGGCTGATTGAGGTTTGAAGCCAACCCATGCAGGAAAGTCCCAGAGACACTGTTTTCCAATTAACCACACAAGAAACCGAGAAGTCTGAAATGAAGGTGTGGCTCAAGTGACAGGGTGCCAGCCTTGAGCAAAAAAGCTAAGGAAGTATGCTCAGGTCCTGAGTTCAAGTCTCTGAACGGGTTAAAAAAGAGATTACTTTTGGTTGTAACTTGTATTATATGTTAAAAGGGTGGGTTTCAACTTTACATTCCCCCCCCCCACTTGACTTCCTGCTTTTTTTTCCCTGCTTCTCATCAACTTTCCAAAAAACAAAGAACTAGAGAATGGTAATATCTACCTCACAATTTCGCCTAGCCACATCCCCTTTGGTTTCAAGTAACTTCTGAGAAGCATCCAGTTCCTTACTTCTATGTTCTAAGGAAAGAAATATCCATATCTAATAATATGATGGCCACAGAGGAGTGTCTCTTGTCTAGCTGTTTGTCTCATTCATTTACTGAAAAAGAGTACTTTGGCTCAAGTTTTTGTATATTTTCACTGTGTGACTGTGTGTGTATGTGTGTGTGTGTGTGTGTGTGTGTGTGTGTAGGTAGGTACTGGGGCTTGAACTCAGAGCTTGGGCACTGCCATTTCTGCTCAAAACCGGTGCTCTACCACTTGAGCCACACCTCTAATTTTCAGCTTTTTGGTGGCTAATTGGAGATAAGAGTCTAATGAACTTTCTTTCCCCTCCTGGGCTGACTTTGAACTGTGATCCTCCTATCTTAGCCTCCTGAGTAGCTAGGTGTCAGCCACCAGTGCCTGGCTTGTATCCCCTACACCTTGCCCCCCCCTGTAGGTCGTGGGGCCTGAAATCTGGGCCTGAGGGCTGTCCCTCAGCTCTTCAGTTCAGGGCTAGTGCTCTACCACTTGAGCCATGGTGCCACTTCCAGCTTTTTCTGCTTATGTGGTGGGGAGGAATTAAACCCAGGGCCTCATGAACACAAGGCAAGCACTCTACCACTGAGCCAACTTCCCAGCCCCTGGCTTGTATCTTTACTCTTAAATTGTTGTACATATGCAGCCCTGACATCCTGTACTATAAAAACTACTGAATATTTGGGAAAGAATTGGTTTAAAATGGATCAAGCAGATGTGAAAAAATGAACAGGCTAGTATTATATAAAGTGAGAAAACCTTTAGAACAAGTGGTTCTAATACAGACTTTATGAAAGAGCTCATTCTTTTCCTGTCTTATTGTGTCAAGCATCCTAATACTGGTAACTATGCTCTATCTATCTATCAATCAATCAATCAATCTATCTATCTATCTTCTACCTACCTACCTATCTACTTATATGTTTTATACATACATCTATGTGTATGTGTGTGTTATATGTGTTTCTTTGGTTAAAAAAAGAATAAGATGAAATATACTGCTTTCGAAAAGAAAAATCCTTTTTTTTTCTTGGTACTGGGGATCGAACCCAGGAATGTTGTGCTTGCTAGGCAAGCGCTTTGCCACTGAGCTACATCCCAGCCCTTGAAAAGAAAAATCCTATGGACTAAAACTTTCAAATATAGTTCAAAGATCCATTAATGAGATCCTGAGAGGTGAAATAAAAACTCAGAGTTATTACATCATAGTTCATTTTCATTGCTTATAGTATATGGCACATGTCTAATTTCTACCTCAGTTAATCAGAAATCCTGTATATACTCAATTGCATTGCTTCTCATCCATTTGGACATTCACACATGCAAAGTTTTCAATATGATATAAAACAATAAAAACATGCAAGACATTTATCTCAGAAGGAGCAAACATTTAAAGTTTATCCATACTGCTGTCTGTCCAAGCCATTGATTCACTCCTGAAACCATCCTGAAGAGAGGACTGTGGGTAGCAGAGAGACTCTCTTTCCCAGTGCCTGGCAGGTAAAAATGGCACTTGCATTGGAAAAGACCAGTTAAATTGTAGGGTGACAGAGAGGAAAAAGAAATTAGATATTTTGAATATTGACAACTAAGATATGATCACTAACTGTACTTAATTTTGCTAAGGGAAGTTCAAAGATGATTTTGTAAGACAATCTACAACCACAAATTAACATCATAACCTTTCTTTGTTCTTGCTGTTTTGTTTGCTTATGTCAATATTGAAAAAAATTATAATGTAACAATACACTCACATCCAGTTACCATTCATGAAAATTTTATCCTCTGTCCAGGCTTTAAATCAATTAGTTTTTTCTATCATTTTCTTGAGACAAAAATGGAAAAGCAAACAACCACATTTATCTTTTTTGGTGGAAGTGAGGTTTGAGCTCGAGGCCTATGCTTGTTAATCTACCCCCTCCCCACTCCGCCCCAGCACCATACTTATCTTCATATGATAGTTTTCCATCAGAAACAAACCACATACCTCAATTTCTTTTCCTGTAAGCCATGATTCTTTAGGCAATCCTGATTTGGGTGGGACCCAGGAACTCTCTTGTGAATCGACATTGTAATAGTAGTCGTATTTCTCCTGTAGATTGAATTTGATCCAGGAACCTTCTTCATTAGTAACTAAAGAAAATAAGTTTGTTAAATTCTATAAAGGAACATGAAACCCATACACAGTAGTGTAGTTTCTTCAATATGTGCAGCAATCAAATAAATATGATTTCACCAAGCGTTCAGATGCTCTTAAGTTGAAGTCATTAGGAATGACTCAGTGAAATGCAATACATTTCATGTATTTAATGGCAGGAAGGAAGGAATGAAAAAAGAAAAGGAAAGGAGGGAAGGACAGAAGGGAAGGAAAGAAGGAAGAAGGAATGAAAGAAGGAAGGAAAGAAGGGAAGGAGGGAGGGAGAGAAGAAGAGAGGGAAGAAGGGAGGAAAGGAGGAAGGAAAGGAAAGAAGGAAGGAGAGACAAATGTTTAAGGCTAGCTCTGAACCTCCAATTTTTTATGAGAATGTCAAGAGCCAAAGAAATGGAAAACCAAACAAGAAAAACATGTGCCAGCAATAACACAATAGAGAGAGGAGATCAATGAACCTTATTCTCTCCCACAAAGTCTCCTCTCTGCAACTTACAAGACCGTGAGCCATGTTTAGTTGGGTAATCTGCACTAAGCCAATGTACAAGTGTGTAACTTTGGATGAATCTTGCCAAAATGTATACCAGGAAGGTATATAAGAAAAAATTTATGACCCCTCTGACTCCTATTGCTCTATACAACCTCACAAAATGAGAAAAAAAATCACTGAAAGGAGTTCATTTGGGTTGCAGAGCCTGGTAGAAAAATCTCTGGCAGTTGTGGCTTAAATTGGTCAAGAACAATGTTTCCTCATGAACCGACCAGCACACCTCATAGTTACAAATCGTTTTTCATTCCTAGTTATGATTTCTGCACCAGACCAGAGAACTAAGAACACCCCAAAACATCACAAAAAATTTAAAATGAGAATTCTCATTACCAGTGATGCTCACAATATTGAGCTTGTGATAAAACATGTTTCCTTGCTGAGTAGAAAACCCTTTGGAAAACAATTCAGAAATCTATTAAAGAAAAATGATGTGTTCTTGTTTTAGTAACACTAAGAAAAAAAGCCATAAAACAGTGGGCAAAAATGGTGAGAAGCAGCTGTTTCCATCCGACTCTGAGCAGGTCACAAGGGAAAGTTATACTTGTAAGTATAAAAGTGAAAGAGACACAAAGAACCACAAGAGAGGAACAGGATTGTGGAAGTGTGGAAAAACAGAAAGACAAAAGAGAAAGTGAGGAAATACCTTGAAGCTCCAGCCCCAGCAAGTCTGATGGCAAGGAGAAGCTGAAGTCTCTACCACAAGATAGGCTGAGGGGCCTCCATGACAGACAGAGAGAAAGACAGACATAGTGGTATTCTGTAAGCCTTAAAACCCATGAGGATTTGGTAGGACAATGGTCTCCCTACTGTGGTAGGCCATCGTCAGACTAGACAATCTTTTGTTCCTTATGTCTCAAAGAGCAACAATAAGGAACCCTTCTGACTGAGAGACTTGGGGCGGGGGGATTCTGGATACACTAGCAATGTGCAAGCAGTCTGTAGCCAGGCAGGCCTTGAGACTAAGACACAACCAGGGGTCAAGGAGTTCTGCAACACCTGCCAGTGTCCGTGTAAAATACTGCTTCCAGAGGGAGACAAAAAGGGAGAGGTCTTGTTTCTGGCTATTCAGCTGAGGGCATTACTCTGCCTAGTGAGATTCATATTATTTAGGTTTAGTTATAGAGACCCAATGAGGAAACACACTAAATGCATGAAACTGATTATGAAAGTTAATTGGAAGAAGTAAGGAAAAGGGTAGGAAAGAATTGGAAGATGGTGGAAGGAGTGAATTTGTATGCCTAAAATATAACAATGAAACCTCTCCTATTAAGAATGTGTGTTAATTCCAAAATAAAAAAATCTAGATGAATGCTAAAGTATAGGAACAAAAATATAAACAAATACATTCCAATAAGCACATGGCTTAAGTATTTTGTGACTGGGATTAGGAAACCCATATAACAATATGGAAGGTAGTAGAAGGTAGTTTTAGATCTCACATAAATGGCACCTATGATATGGTTATAAATAAGTGAAATTTACACATGCAAATGAACAACTGTGAAGCAATGTGGACACATCCCACTTATTATTTTGTGTTGTGTTATTCTTGTTGCTTCTGTAACATATACATAATATACCCAGTAAATCTGTGTATATGTGAAAGTTGTTAGTTAAGATGGAATCATTTGTGTCAATCTCTAACAAAGAATGAAGAAAGAGGGCAGTAAAAACAATTAAAAAGTTCTGGCTTAGACTAAACAAGTCAACTGCTGTCAGCATGAAGCAAATGACTTGAACTCTGACTTACCCAGAAAGAATATAAAAGTATGGTGCTGGTGGCTGCAATCCTAGTAGCACAGCAAATGACACTGGCCATCCTAAGCTAATAAAGAAAGCTGAGATTGGCTAGGATCACAGAAAAATCTGTGAAACTCGATCTGCACTGGGAGAAGTTGGATGCAGTGAATCACCTTTCATCCCAGCAAAGATGAGAAGCCTAAAAAGGGTGGATAGCAGTCCAGACATATGTCTGGGTAGGAAGTGATACTCTATCTCAAAATAACCAGTGCAAAAACAGGTTTGGAGGCATGGTTCAGAGGTAGAACACACATGCTACAAGTGTGAGGTCCTTAGATCTATCCCCTAGTACCCATCCCCCTCAAAAAAACCCAACCCCCCCTCCAGAAAGCCACCACCAAAAATCCAGAGGGAAAAAAACCCAAAGAAAATCTCACAAAAAAATCATATTTTGAGTGATATGTGCCACGCAATGTAAAAGCTTACCAGTTTGAGATTTGGACTGTTTGGCTTTTAAGAGGGCATTGTAGTACCTATCAGCACACTCAGGGATTATGTCTTGAACATTAGTAGCAGATGTCTTCAATGCAGACAAAATATCATTTGTTTTGTTCCCATCCAAACACTTGTTGACATCAATGACCAGTGTAAGCCCTGAATAATGGGGGAAAATTCTGTTAGCTGTATTCTTCATTTTACTCCAAAGGCACACAAATATCCAATTCAATCTTTCAGAAGCATTCTTCTATTAAGCTTTTTACTCTTAGAGAATAGGTACCATATATACCTGAGCCAATCAGTTTAATTTGCAATCTACCAGTTTAGGTTGTAAGAAGAACCAGATTCTACAAGAACATGGCATACTGGAAATCTTATTTCCTGTGTCATCTTGTGTGGTATCATGGTAGTAAACTATGACATTGAGTGGATGCCCTGGAAGGGTAGTAATTACTTTAGCAGCAGGTATTGGAGAACTACTTTTATGAAGACATCTATTTTAGGATAAGAGAAATGCTATTTAACCTATGGAAAATCTAATATTCTCATGTATGGTATTGGTGTACTTGCTCAAGTTCTCATTAGCAACCTAAATAAATATTATAGAAAGACACAGCTGGTGAATATATGCAAATGGAATCCAGTTCTGGATTGGGCTAGATTTAAATAAGCCGTTCAAATTTCAACCTTTTCCTATCAAATAAAATCACATTAAACCCTTTTTGCCCAAGGAAAGCTAACTTAATGAATTCTTTATTATCTACTTTTGTTGTTCTAGGTAAGGATGTTCTAGCCCAAACAACAGAATAACAGTTGTTTTTTGTAACTTGTGAGTTAGACGTGCAGAACTAAACAAAAATAAAACAGAGCTAGGTGCTGATGGCTCATGCCTGTAATCCTAGCTAATTTGGAGGCTGAGATTTGAGGATTGAAGTTCAAAGCTAGTCTGAGCAGAAAAGTCTTATCTCCAATTAACTATGCAAAAAGGTAGAAATGGAGCTGTGGCTCAAGTGGTATAGAACTAGCCTTGATCAAAAGAACTCCAGGACAATGTCCATACCCTAGGTTCAAGCTTATGGCCACTTAAAAAAAAAGACAACAAAAAAGCTGACAGTAGACACAAATCTCTCGGACAAAGTAATATTCTTTTTCATCTAGTACTTGAGAGAAAAGCCTCTTGTCTATAGAAGTAGTTTGCTTCCTTTCTGCTAATCTTTCTGAGAACTGTTTTTCTGAAAAGTTCCTGCTTTGGATGGGTAGCTTGGCCCTTGTTAATTACATTTTAGTTATATCTTTTTTCTTCTGCACTTTAATTAAGAACTCTTGTTAAAAGCTCCTAAAATTTTAGTTACATCACATTAATTAAGCCACATCCTTTTGCAGATTGTGAATCTGAGCTCAGCCAATGAGAGCAGAGGGGAGGGGTCTGCTGGGTTAGGGATAAAAAGGAAACAGCTTGCCTGCTCTGTGTGCTTGCTTGCCAAATTTTTGGAAGTAAATGTAGCTTTGCGGAGTATCTTTTGAGTTGGTTATTCGAGTTTCCTTATTCCTATGTGACACTCAGTGTCCTGAGCCATTTCTAACATATTGATGTGCAAGGAGCTAGTCCACAGATGAGTCTCCAGGGCTAAGTCCTATCTCAACAGCAATTTCCATGAAAATCTGAAACATACCTTGGAGAAGACCATTACAGGATAGGCATTCTTGCTCCTCATTTTACTCAGTGTCTGTGACATAGTAGGTGCTTAATGTTTGTTTAGAGCAGATAGAAGTGTCCTTTACATCATTAAAATTGGACTGTGGGGAGTGGAGCTGTGGCTCAAGTGATAGGGCACCAGGCCTTGAGTGTAACAGCCAAGAGTGAATGTGAGATCCTGAGTTCAAGTCCCTGTACTGGCATAAAAAAATGTCTGTGTAACAGTCAGTGCTATTTGCTCTGGCACTAACTGGCCTCAAACTCTAATTTTTTTAGTGTTCTCTCCAATGTCAGGGATCACTTCCTATGGACATCATGTGCCTGCTTTGGACAGCACAAACTCCTTATCAGTTGAAAAATTGTAGCTTCTGCTGCTGTGTTTGGAGCTGGGAAGAGAAATAGCCACATATAAGAGTTAAGTCTGTAGAAAGAATAAATGGACTCAAGGTGTCTATGCCAGGCATATGCAGGGATAATAGTAGAATAGCTTTAATGCAATGACTGTCAACATCTTTTTTAGGGGTATGCCAGTCCTGGGGCTTGAACTTAGGGCCTGGGCACTGTCCCTAAGCTTTTTTGTTTAAAGCTAGCACTCTACCACTAGCACCACTAGCCACAGCACCACTGCTGGCTTTGAATCAGGACGTTCTTATCTCAGTGTCCTGAGCAGCAAGAATTACAGGCATGCGTCACCAGTGCCTGACTGAGCCATCTATTTTGATTGCTCTGTTGTTTACTCTGTGGCTTGTGATTTAGTCCTAAGCAATAGAGGATGATAGATAAATGACTTCTAGAAAGTAATGTATATTTTGGCTGAGGAACAAATGAAGATACCATCTGTAAATCTCGTATGAAATCCAAAACCCCTGTGCTTTAAATCTTAAGCTATATGCCAGCAAGCTCCCTTTAAAGTATATACTACAGGGAAGGGGCAAGGGATAAAATGGCCAATAGGGCAAAATAATCTTTGTAGGTTAAAGCACACTGATCTATGTATGGTATATAATTGGCATGTACAACTTATTATTAGTATTAAAATTTCATGATATGGAGAGATTAAGGAAAAACTATTTTAAAATCTCTTAGGGAATAATAATAATAATAAGTTGAGAAATTCTGCTGTAAGGAATCAGATGTTGAGGCAAACATATTTCAAGTAAGATACTAGAGGGAAAAGGAACATACTAGTCAAAATGAGGAGACTCAGCAACCCTGCCTTTTCAATCTGCGTGTGGGAGATTCAGGGGTCAAAACACTTCTTTGATCAGATTATGTAGGATGTTTATACCATGTGACCATAATCTCAAGTCTTCATCCACAAGGTGAATGCTTTTAAAAGAAATATTAAATTCCAGCTGAAAACCCAGAAAACTCTCATATTTCAATGTCAAAGCAGCATGGCTTTACCCACCCAAAATCTGATATATATGAATATACTTTATATACATATATATATATATATATGTGTATACACACACACACACACATATATGAAGAAATTACCACGACTCTTGTGAAGAACAGGACAGAGCTGGAGAAGGGAGGATTTTCAGATATGTAGCACACAACAAAAAAAATCACATTTTTGAGAAAACATTTTACTTTTCTAGTCAATAGAATTGAAAAACAGCTCTAAGATCGACAGACCAAATGTAAGAAAAATAATGAATAAAAGACATAAAAGGACTTCTAAATCGGTTTGATCTTCTGAGAAGGAAGTCATAACCATTTTAGGCTGAGTATCCACATTACAATCTCATTTCTTGACAGATGGGCACTGGTGGTTTATGTCTATAATCCTAGTTAGGAGGCTGATATCTGAGGATCAGATGACAGCTGCTTTTGGTTTAATATGTTAATTTAAATCTCCTATCTATCCACCTTAATTATATTATTTTATATGGCGATTTAAATCTCTTATGTATATAACTCAACTATCTTATTTTCTCCCTTAAACATTAGAGCACTAGAAAGGCAAGACTTTAAAGTTCTTAAGGAAGTAAAAGTTTAGAGAAAAATACAGATATTTTTCCAAGCTAAAGAAATAAATACAGATGTTCTCCATAGATGCTTCCAAAGTTTGAAAGCACAGCTGCTGCAGAGACCAAGCTGTGTCAGCAACACTCTATGGGCTGATGAACTGGGGAAGTCTACTCCACAAACAGGCAGGTTTTTATTGAGTCTTACTTTAATTTGTGTAGGGACGTATTATACATGGAGACCATTTGTATATCAATTTAGAAGCTATTTCAGATGGTCAGGTAGACTTTCTTACTATTCCTTCTTCAGAATAGAAGTTGAAGGTTTTTTTTTTTTTTTAGTTCTGTTTCTGTTTTTGCCAGTTCTGGGGCTTGAACTTGCCTGGGAGCTGTCCCTGAGCATCTTTGTCCTTAAGGTTGTTTTCTACTACTTGAGCCACAGCACCACTTCCAGCTTTTACCTGAGTAGTTTACTACAGATAAGAGTGTCATGGACTTTGCTGTCCTGGCTGGCTTCAAACCACGATCCTCAGATCTCAACCTCCTAAGTAGCTAGGACTACTGGTATGAGCCACTGGTGCCTGGCATTTTGAGTGTGTGTGTGGGACAGTGGGGCTTGACCTCAGAGCCTGGGAGCTGTCCCTGAGCTCTCTTGCTCAAGGCTAGTGCTCTACCACTTTGAGCCATAGCACTACTTTTGGCTTTTGAGTGGTTAATTGGAGACAAGAGTCTCAAGGAGACTTTCTGCTTGGGCTGGCTTCGAATCTTGATCCTCAGATTTCAGCCTCCTGAGTATCTAGGATTGTAGGAGTGAGCCACCAGCACCTAGCACTTTAAAAAAAAAACCATATGAACCAATATGAGAATTCTTTTAGCTACTGTCCCATTGGAGATAATCACAGGGTGGGTTTGGAAGCTGGGATGCAGTGAGAGAACATGGATTAAAATTCCTTGCATCATCCATCCAGCTTCTAAAACCCTGATCTGGCTGGGGAACCACAGTGGTGCCTCAGGTCTGTAGAAACTCATGCTGATTCATGGCCAGTGACCAGTAGTCCTGCGAAGCCTGCTTCTATTCCTTTCCCTAGAACATTCACCCTCCAAGACCTCTAGAACCCTTTGGAGAAGACCAGCAGAAATATTAATGGTATAATTTTGGGGTAGTGTTGTGGTATCCTTGCTCAAGAAAAGTGGGTCTCTCCCTCATCTAAGAGGCTCTGGGTTTGTGATGTGGATGCAGTCTGGACAATAAGGGAATCTGATTCTTTTTACCATTCAAGGTAGACTTCTCTTGACTTAGAACTCTTCTACGTGTACAGATTAAGAAGTTAGGAACTACTGGTTGATTTTAATTCTAGGAATACCTTGATCATTTAGACAACTCCACAGGGCTGAGACCCTTCAAGATACTGCTCAGTCTGCTCTTGTACATCAATACCCACGTACATAGTGTTCTTCCCTCCCTCTCTCCACCCTCCTTCCCTACGGGTCTGTTTTCTGACAAATCCTAACAATGGAAACTATGGAAAAGAGGATATTTATCGAGCAGGAATGGGCTAGTTCCTGGTGGAACAGAGTCTCCCACCCACTGGTTTCTTTTCAGCAATATGGGTCAAATTTTGTTGGAAACAGCAACCAATCAGGGCAAGTAGAGAACCACCTAATCAAATATCTATACTAAGTATGCATCCACAAACTAAAATGTGGTAAGAGTCCAAATCTTTCTAGAAATTGAAAATTGACATGACTTCAGTTGTATATCCAAATCTAAGCAAGGCACACTGACAACAAAAAAAGGCATGGACTTACATTGCTTTGCTCTGCTCTCATGTGTGTTGGCTTCATCAATGGCTTGCTGTATCTCATCCAGCCAAAGAACTTTAGAAATACTATCAGGGTCCTAGGAAAAATGGCATAGAACCAAGGAGAGAGAACAGTGAATGACAGGATGGAATCAATAACTTCTCTTCAGGATCCATTTCATTATAGTTTCCTAATTCTTAACCAGCAAACCAATAAGCAGTGCCCTATATAGCACAAGCTGCTAGTGAACAGATCCTGAATCTGACCACTTTCCCCCTTTTGTCCTTACCACCAGGAGTTTGCTATTGTCATCTCTCACATGGAAAGCTACACTGGTCTCATAGTTTTTGTTGCTTCCAAGTCTGTCCTGTATCTCCATGCCCTCTAGAGAAAACCACATGATCTCTCCAAAATGGCTATCTCATTATGCCCCTCTTCCAAGGAAACCCATTGAAAGCTTCCTACTGAAGAAAACACAAACTCCCTTTTCATGAACGGTAGGTAGGGCAGTACCCTTTCATGTCGTCTTTCTCTGTTATTGAACTTCTTATAGATTCTAGAACTCTACCTTAGCTGCATAACCATGTTTTCTCATTCAGAACTCAATTTAAATACTACCTCTTCTAAAGAGTTTTTCCCCCCAGGGATAACTAAGCATTCAATTACTGTGATTGCCAAATGATATGGCTGGGTCCCCCAGGGTGCCATGGGAAAACAGAATGATGCTCAATATTTATCAGACACAGAGACAAAAATAAAAATATGGCTGTGCGCTGGTGGCTCACATCTGTGTAATTCTAGCTACTCAGGAGGCTGAGATCTGAGGATCATGGCTCAAAGCCAGCCCAGGCAGGAAAATCCAAGAGACTCATCTTTAATAAACCATCAGAAAACTGGAAGTGGTGTTGTGGCTCAAAGTGGTAGAATGCTAGCTTTGAGCAAAAGAGCTCAGTGCCCAGGCCCCAAGTTCAAGCCCCATGACTGACAAAAGAAAATGTTGCTTGCTCCCAATGAGCTCTTGGTCTTGAGGAAGATATAGATGTGTCAAGGAACAATTATCATATAATGTGATCAGGGAAGTATCAGATACAGGTACATGGCAAGAAGGGGCAGGGATTTTGAAGTCCAGGAGGAAAAAAGACTGAGCTCCAGAAAGAGAGGTAGGAGCAGTGAAAATTTATGAAATTATCTTTGGGTTGGTTCTGATGATCCTACTATAAATGAATTGCTCACAGATATTAACCAGAACTGCCAGGTAGCAACTACAAATATTTTGTAAATGCTTGTCCAAAGTTGCAAGTAAATGCTTGGGGGGGGGTGTAGTTGTGGAGATGGGAGGGCAGGGATGGTAAGGAAAAAACAAAGGAGGAGGCAACAATGCTTGGTAAGAAATGTACTCATTATCTTGCTCATGTAAGTGTAACCCCTCTGTACAGTATTTTCACAATAAAAGAACTTATTAATAAAAAAAGGAATTAAAATATTTTCAGGAAAGATATGCTATTCCATTAAAAATATACTACTGTATTCAGCTATGTGTAGGGGCACAGACCTATTTCTTCCTACTTTAACCCTCAGTCTTTTATGTTTCATGTGAAATTAATTTTTTCTGATTCTTGATGTATTTTATTTTCAGCAAGCTATTGGGTTGCCAACCTTAGGGTTTAGCCATATATTATGTTTTTTCTGTATACCAAATGATATTCTACTCACAAATGTACTTCACATTACTGAATTGTACCCTTAAAATTGGTAAGATGGTAAATTTTGTTAGGTATCTCCTACCACAATTGTTGGGAGAGATGGGGAGAATAATGGAAGGAATGACACTGAGCAAGATGACAAATCATAATTTTTGAATTAAAATTTCTTTATACTACTAAAGACAACAAAGCAATCTCATGTAGACCTGCTTACAGAGATTATGGAATACAGGCAGTTCTCTGCACTTGAGTGTTGTATAATGATTTTGGCATAGTCATATAGTGTTGTTTGGTGTTACTGAATTGCGCAGAACACAGTGGGCTATGGTAAACAGCTCCTCTTCTAATACTGTTACCATCATATCAAGTTCAGCTCGGCATATTTATATGAAACTGGCAGAGATTTCCACAGCCATCAAGCGCCTAAACAATTTTAACTTCTTAGTATTTGCTTGCCATAATAAATTTAAACTTAGGTAATGAGTTTAATTAAAATCTGATAAAAATAATTAAAATTAAATAGCTAGGAGAATAAAGGAAAGACTAAGTTCTGACTGCTCAAGTATTAAGTAGGAATTATACTCTGGCACTGTTTTTGAAATGGGCAAAATGATATATGAGCAGATTCATAGCTAACTGCTGCATAAAATCTATGTATAGCACTGCCTTTTTTCTTGTGTGTGTGTGTGTGTGTGTGTGTGTGTGCGCGCACACATGTGCCCTGGTACTGGGGCTTAAAACTGAGGGCCTTGAATTCTTTCTTGACTTTTTTGATCAAGGCTGACTACCACTGGACCCACACCTCCACTTCTGGCTTTGTGTAATAGTTAATTGGAGATAAGAGCTTCATGGACTTCTCTGTCCAGGCTGGCTTTGAATCGCAATCCTTTGGAGTAGCTAAGATTACAGGTAGGAGCCACTACTTCCTGGCTAGTGGTGGTATTTAAAATGCAAGTCACTAAATCAGGGAGAGCTACAGCATCTCTTCAGCACCTTTGGCTTGTGAGGATAACGGTAGGGAAGTTCGATGATTTTCTCCAGAGATAACGTAATGTGCTCAGAGGCTTGGCCTGAATCATGCATATGGAAATTTCTAACGTCACTTTATTTCCCTACAGAGGAACTAGGGCAGGTTCCTGCCCACAAAGCACAGCCAAGAGAACCTGCTTCAGCCAAGACGACAAGTCTCTACTTGCTGCTACCACATGAAGCTGAGGGGAAACTGTGTCCTGTGACTTTATACCTTGGAGAAGTGGGTTTCAGGACATCAAAATGAAAGCCCTCATTGTGGCAGCTTCTAGACTACTGTTCCTGCTGTCTACTATTTGTCAAAGTGGTAAGTTCTTTTCTTTTGGGATACAATGATTATGTTGTAAGAGTCATCTGAACCTAATTCTCTTAATATTCTCAAAGGGCAGAATGTGTTCTTGGTTACAGCCAGAATCCTGGAGATGAACATCTACTTTGTTCACTTTATCTTGTTAAAGATGTACTGTCCTCTATTAATATCTAAATTTTGGTGCTAGAATCAAGATTTTAGATATACAGTTAAGTCAGAAAGCAATATTCTTTGTGAGAAGTGTTTGCATTTGTAGGAATTTCCTCTAACTTTGGAAAGACAGGACTTTTTCAAGAGATTGAAAGAATCTTATGCCAGGCCCCATTGGCTCATGCCAGTAATCTTAGCTATGCAGGTGGCTGAGATCTGAGGATTAAGCCTTTGAAGTCAGCAAAGGCAGGAAAATTCATAACACCCTTAATTCTAATTAACCACCTAAAGCTGGAAGTGGAGGTATGGCTCAAGTGATAGAGTGCCAGACTGGTGTTTAAAAGCTAAGGAGCAGTGTAAGGCCTTGAGTTCAAGCCCCAATACTGGCATAAGCTCAAAGCATTCAGGATACACACACACACACACACACACACACACACACACACACACACACGTGAATGTACCTATAAGTCCCTTTTTACCCTGCTTGTCTTCCTAGACTCACCTTCACCATTTCCTAACCTTTGCCTAGTTCAGTAACTCAGAGTATCCTTAAAGTATGAATAATTACAATAGCATCCAAATCAGACTCCTTTCTCCTTTTTTTGGCGGGGGGGATCCGGTCATGGGGCCTGAACTCTGGGCCTGGGCGCTGTCCCTCAGCTCTTCAGTTCAAGGCTAGCACTCTACCACTTGAGCCACAGTGCCACTTCCAGCTTTTTTCGTTTTGCTTATGTGGTGCTGAGGAATCGAACCCAGGGCCTGAAAAACTCAGCGATAGCACCCAGGCCCAGAGTTTAAGTCCCACAACCAACAACAACAACAAAAAAGTGGGTTGATTCCTGATCTCACAGATCCCTACACTCCATATTTAATGCTCCATTCACATCAGTAGAGTTGCTGTTTCACATAGGAAGGCTGGCCAGCACAGAGCTGTCACAGCGTGAAAGCCCCCTGAGTGCACAGAGGGCTCCTTTGGTTAAAAAGCTCTGCTGGAGACCCACACTGAGCTCATGAAAGGCCTTGGCTTTGTGGAATTGGGCTCACTCAAGGACAAACCCCCATAAGCTGTGAGGAGAGCAGAACAGTGATATGAAATCAAAGTCATTGGTATATTATTAGTATCCTACTGACACTGTAACAAATGTTCATAATTGAGTGTTTAAAAGAGCACAGATTTATTATCTGGTATTTCTGGAGGTCAGAAATATTAAAATCAAGGTGTTGGCAGGGCTGTATTCATTCAAGAGGATTTGGACAAGAATCTGACTTCTTGCCTTTTTCAGACTCTTAAAAACTGCCTGCATTCCTTGGTCCACTGCCCCTCCTTCTATCTTCAAAGCCAGTCGCACGGCCTCTCCAAATCTGCCTGATTTTCACCCTCTTGCCTCCCTCCTACAAGGACTCTTAGGATTATATTTGACCCACTTGGTCAGTCCAGGATACTCTAACTACTCCTATATGTAAAATTCCCTTTCGCCATATGAGGTCACACATTCTCAGGTTCCCAGAACCAGCAGGTGGAATCTTTGTGGCTTTATTCTTTTTACCACATTGGTCAGTACTACCATCAGAGGTGTGTATGCAACCTCATGAATAGGCCGTGATTTCTTAGGATAGTTTCAGAGCCCTTCAAGAATTTGAGTATAATTTATTTTTTCAAAATTCATCTCTTAGATGTCTTTTATTAGTATATTATAATAAATTTTTGTGTCTTCTACAATAGTCAAAGGTTTCCCAAAAAGTGATGAAACTTATTTAAAATTCTACATTTTTTAACTTTTATTGCAATAAAGTGTCAACTGCATATACATACAAAATGAACATTTCCTAATATTTATTGGGTATTCCCAGACCCCATGCCCATTCATCACCAGCAAAATCTAATTCACCTATTAGACTCCATCTCTTTATAAGCCTTGTTCATCATTTTCTTGACGTTTCTCGAATCCAAATGACTACGTAGCTTATAGTCAATATAACATTTGCCTATAATGTTTTGAGCTAATTTTGCTTCCACTAGTACTATTAACTCCTTTCACACAAGGAGTTGTGTGTATGTGCTGAGGTTTATGGCACACACTACAAACATGCCTATGGATTGCTTGATTATAGGCAATATCAGGTATGTGTACATATGTGTGTGTATATATATATATATATATAGGTGTGATAATGAAAATAAATATGTGATATAATAAAATATATAATGATCTTTTAAAATAAAATGGTTCTAAATCTTACAATTACATAAATTATGGAACATAAATCATTTAAAGCTAAGGTCAACTCACAGAGGACTTAACTAGTAACAGTGAGCACCTGAGTTTAAATCCCAGTACTGCCCAAAGTAAAACACTTCACTTAGTTTTTACCCAAACTATAAAATAAGGCTTGGCAAAATAAAAAAGTGCTGTAATTTCCTTTCACTTACAGGCATGGGAAACATTGCAGACAAGTCAAGAAAACCAAACTTAACTGTTAGGACCTTGTATGGAACCCCCCCAAATGCTTCTGAAGACTTCTCACTTTCTGCCATAAAAGGCTGGACAGGAGCCACTATAAATGTGAGGTGCCCTGAAGGAAATGTTTCACATCTTCACATGAATAATGTCACCGTGGGGTACCTGAAAAGTTCCTTAAGGACCAAGCTGATACCTGCTATCTACATCCTGGTATTTGTGGTTGGTATTCCAGCCAACAGTATGACCCTGTGGAAACTCCTTTTCAGAAACAAACCCATCTGTCTGACCATCTTCCATACCAACCTGGCCATTGCAGATATTCTCTTCTGTGTCACACTGCCATTTAAGATCATTTATCACCTCAATGGAAATAACTGGATATTTGGAGAGGTCTTGTGCCGGGCTACCACTGTGCTCTTCTATGGAAACCTATACTGCTCCATTCTGCTCCTTACCTGCATGAGCATCAGCCGCTACCTGGCCATTGTTCATCCTTTCACATACCGAAGGCTGCCCAAGCGCAAATACACTTGGCTAACATGTGGTGTGGTGTGGGTGATGGTTTTCTTATACATGCTGCCATTTTGCATCCTGAAACAGGAATATTACCTTCTGCAGCTGGACATCACCACCTGCCATGATGGCTACAGCCTATGCGAGTCTTCCTCCCTCTTCCAGTTGTGCTACTTCATCTCTTTAGCTGTCTTTGGATGCTTAATTCCATTCATGGTTGTTACATACTGCTACACAAACATCATCATCCACAGACTTAACATACATGATCAAAGATGGCTGAGGTATTCAAAGGCGGTTGTTTTCATCATGGTGATTTTCATGGTTTGCTTTATGCCGAGTAATATTATATTGATTGCTTATCATGTTAACTACTACAGTCACAACACGGATGGCTTATACTTTTCTTATCTCATAGCTTTGTGCCTGGGTAGCCTGAATAGTTGCTTAGACCCATTCCTTTATTTTCTCATGTTAAAAATGTTAAATCAGCCGAGTGCTGGTGGCTCACGCTTGAAATTCTAGATACTCAGGAGACTGAGATCTGAGGATCACAGTTCAAAGCCAGCCTGGGCAGGAAAGTCTGTGAGACTCTTATCTCCAATAAACCAGTAGAAAACTGGAAATGATGCTGTGGCTCAACTGAACTGAAGAGCTAAGGGACAGTGTCCAGGCCCAGAGTTCAAGGCCCATGACTGACAAAACAACAACAACAAAAAACCAAAACAACAACAACAAAGAAAGCTGACCATGGTGAGAGGATCATAGAGAAGCGGGAAAGCGACCTACAAAGACATACTTGGGACAATGTATGCTGAGCGCAAGCACCTCTATTCTTTTGCTCTATGTTTTGAGCTCTTAAGACACAGTATTTCAAATATCAAACATTACAAGAGCATTAGCAATTGTTTTTGTGTATGAGTGTATGTATGTGCTCGCCTTAGCTTTTTTGCTCAAGGCTGGTGGTCTATCACTTGAGGCACACAGTTAACTGGAATCAAGAATCTCAGGGACTTTCCTGACCTGGTTGGCTTTAAACTGTGATACTTAGATCTTTGCCTCATGCATAGCTAGAATTACAGGCATAAGCAACCAATGCTGGGTGTAGCAATTGTGTTTTAAATAGTACCTTGTCAGTATTTTAAGAATGTCAGTGCAGGAGGAAAGTAACCAGTCTTTTCTGACAATGACACATTTCCATTAACTTTCTGACACTCCAAGCTCTTTCAAGTTTCCCCTTTTCCTCCTATGAGAAGTATTGCCGCCCTTGGAATTTAGCATCCATCTCAATTCTTCTGTTTTCCAATTTCAGTCTTTGCAATTACAGAAGTGACATGAGTACATGTACTTCTGTCTTTTAACCATTCCCCTTATTGCTAGCTTTTCTTCTATTTCACAGATCATGCCAGGCCAACCCTCCTTAGACCCTAGTTTTGTGTGTGTGTGTGTGTGTGTTGTGCCAGTATTGTGGTTTTGAACTCAGGGCTTGGGTACTCTACCACTTGAACCACATCTCCACTTGCTGTTGTTTTTTGGAGTGGCTTTGGATTGGCTTTAAACCTCGATCTTCAGATCTCATCTCCTAAGTAGCTAGAATTACAGTGAGCCATTGGCATCTGGTGAGACAAAAGTTTTAATATACCAAAATCATCTACAGACTCTCCACTGCTTCTGGAAAGTTAGCAGGGCTAACTTTCTGATGGGACTTTCTGTGTGCCTCAGTGAATAAGCCCCAGCCAAACCCCTCTATCTCTGCCTTTTTATCTCTGCTCCTGCAAATGTGGGTTCAAACATTTTTGCCTATTCATCTCCTGAAGTCTTGAAGGATTGTTCTTCCCTGATTATCATGCTGAAAGTGTCGTTTTTCTCATCTGAACTTCCAAAGCACTTTCTTATACTTTTTACATACAAATTTACATACAAATATTCATTCCATAAACAAGTAAGTATGATGTATTCAGTTTTTTCTACAAGTTCCACATGTACAGAAACAGCCAACTTCAAAAGTACTTCTGTATTGAATATGTATTTATTTCTTGCCACTATTCCACAAACAACAGTGCTCTTTAAACAATAGAGTAAAAACACCACAACTATTTACCCAGCATTTATAATGTATCAGCTGTTTTAAGAAATCCAGAAGTGCCTATAATCCTAGCTACACAGGAGGCTGAGATCTGAAGATCGCGGTTCAAACCCAGCCTGGGCAGGACAGTCCATGAGACTCTTATCTCCAATTAACCACCAGAAAACTGAAAGTGGCACTGTGGCTCAAGTGGTAAAAGTGCTAGCCTTGAGCTGAAGAGCTCAGGGACAGTGCCCAGACCCAGAGTTCCAGCTCTATGACTGACCAAAAAGAAAAAAAGAAAGAAAGAAAGAAAAAAAATCCAGAAGTGATTTAAAGTCTATGGAAGGATGTGGAGAGAAGATGTATTAGTACTATATACCATTTTATACAAAGGACATTAGCATCATGGATTTTAGTATTGGCAGGTATCCTGGATCCAGTTCCCTAAGGCTAATGAGGGTCGACTGTACAACGAAATTCTTGGGGCCACACTGGGTCTATGTGCTTTCAAGCTCTTTGAATGCTCCGCTCCATGCTTTGCATGTTACATGGCTGAATGAAAGGATAAAACCCCAATAGCATGAAAGCCCATTCACTTCATATAAAGAAGGAAACATCTTCTGAGTGACATAGTATGACAGCATTTCTGGCTAAGCATGCAAAATGGTAAGGAAGTTCAGCTAAGACTATAGCTATAAGGTCATTTGGAAGTTGAAAATCAAAAAAAATTCCCACCCAGGCTCACTCCTGTATTTCTAGCTTACTCAGGGGGATAAGATCTGAGAATCCAGGTTCAAAGCCAGCCTAGCCAGGAAAGCCCTTGAAATTCATCTCTGATAAACTATTCCCCAAAAGCTGGAAGTGGTAGAGCGCTCACCTTGAGCACAAAAAGCTCAGGGAGAGTGCTCAGGCCCTGAATTCAAGCCCCAGGGACTGGCACACACATGCGTGGACACACATTTACCATCCCTCCCCCCATAAACATAACACACATGTCTCCAACCAGCTTTCTTATTCTTTCTACTGAGGAATAGGGCATTTATAAATTTTTAGTTACAGTTAATTGTATTTCTCTTAGCTGAAGGATCAAATAAGAGAAAAAAATTTGTGGCTAAGGGTGGGGTGCTATTAGTAAATATATATAGGGTTGAGGAAACCCTAACACATGAAACATTGCAGAGAGAAACTGTAGATACAAGCATTTAACCATATTCTTTCTATCAGCCATCAAAACAATAAAAATACTTAATACTTTTAAATGTGTAGTTTTTATTTGGTCTCAATCTTTTTTTTCTTGTGCTGGTCCTAGTGCTGAACCCAGGGTCAATGCACTATCGCCGAGCTGTTTTGCTCAAGGCTAGCACCTTGACACTTGAGCCACAGCTCCACTTCCAGTGTTTTTGGTATTTAATTGGAGACAAGAGTCTCCATGGACTGTCCTGCCTGGGCTGGCTTTGAATTGTGATTCTCAGATTTCAGCTTCCTGAGTAGCTAGAATTACAGGTGTGAGCTACTGGTGCCTGGTTTGGTCCCAGTCTTTGATAAATTCTATGAAGCTGTTCCTCACTATGACTTTTAGTAGCTGTGTACTGTGGAATAAGCTTTGTCTAGCATTGATAATACTAGCAACACCATTGTTTTTCCTGTTATTTTCTAAGGTGTGACTTTGGGAAGGAAAGGCGCAGAACTACCATCATGTAAATACACTAGAAATTTCCAGGAGTGACAGAGCAAAGCTTAAAAACAAAACACAAAGACGCAGCCAAATAAACAGAATCAGATTTCTCCAAGGATAAACACATTGAGAAAAGGCTGAGAGAAGTTTTAAAATGAAGGGACTAATCAGGTGCCCACTCAATTGAGAAGGTAGTATCTTTCGAATGACTTAAGATGACAGCTGGTTAAACATGCAAAAAAGTTACTAAGAATGTATCTATAAGGTTAGTGGGGAAGTTAAAACAAAATAACATCTCAGTTGGTTGCTGGTGGCTTACTCCTGTAATCCTAACTACTCAAGAGGTTGAGATCTGAGACTTTTGGTTTGAGACCAGCCTCAGCAGCAAAGTCCATGGAGACTCTTTATCCCCAATAAATGACACCAAAAGATCTAGAAGCGGAGCTATGCCTGGAGCAATAGAGTGCTATCCTTGAAAAAAAAGTTCAGAGAGACTGGACCTAGGACCAGTGCATGCGTGTGCATCTGCCCCCCCCCTTGCTGGAGATATAGCTCAGAGCTGGAGATATAGCTCAGTGGTACAGTGGTGTTTGGTTGGAATGCACAAGGACCACCCTCACCACGATGATGATAATGATGATTATGATGATGATGATGATGGAGAAAGTGAATTGCATTTAAAAATAGCAATTAAACTAAACATGAAGTATTCTCTAGACTTGTATTATTTGAAATTTGTTAACATTGGCCAATACAACTCCAGCCTTAGTTTTATTGGTCAAAAGTGGGTTGATTTCCGGGTGCTGGTGGCTCACACCTGTAATCCTAGCTACTCAGGAGGCTGAGATCTGAGGATCACGGTTCAAAGCCAGACTGGGCAGGAAAGGTTGTGAAACTCCTGGGTTTTTTTTTTTTTTGGTCGGTTGTGGGGCTTGAACTCTGGGCCTGGGCACTGTCCCTCAGCTCTTCAGCTCAAGGCTAGCACTCTACCACTTGAGCTACAGCACAACTTCCAGTTTTCTGGTGATTTTTATTAGAGATAAAAGTTTCACGGACTTTCCTACCTGGGCTGGCTTTGAACCTTGATCCTCAGATCTCAGCCTCCTGAGTAGCTAGGATTACAGGTGTGAGTTACCGGCACCCAGCAGTTTGTGAAACTCTTATCTCCACTAAACCATAGAAAACCAGAAGTGGTGCTGTGGCTCAAGTGGCAGAGCGCTTGCCTTGAGCTGAAGAGCTCAGGGATAGCACCCAGACCCAGAGTTTAAGTCCCACAACCACCACCACCACCAACAACAAAGTGGGTTGATTCCTGGTCTCACAGATGCCTACACTCCATATTTAATGCTCCATTCACATCAATAGCTGTTTCGCATAGGACGGCTGGCCAGCCCAGAGCTGTCACAGCATGAAGCCCTCTGAGTGCACAGAGGGCTCCTTTGGTTAAAAAGCTCTGCTGGAGACCCACACTGAGCTCATGAAAGGCCTTGGCTTTGTGGAACTGGGCTCACTCAAGTAACCCCATAAGCTGTGAGGAGAGCAGAACAGCGATGTAGTAAGAAACTTGTGCCAGAGACGTTACTGACCCCAAATTGGGCGGCAGCCACAGGAGTCCATGATGGTACATTCTAATATGTGGCGTCAGGCACACACAAAGATGTACATATTCAAAACTATCATTAATATAACAACATTAATATAACACATTGGCCTGCCTTGCTGTGTGGACATCCTGTAGAAATGCTTTGATTGCCTACGGTCCTTTGCCAGATGAGACCAGTATCCAGAGCAATGGCTCAACCTCTCACTTGGTGCAGATGCCTGAACATCAGTGTTTCCAGGTATAGGTCTTTTTCTGATGCTGTAGCTGTTACAATGGGGCCTAGTGGAAGAACTATGGCTATCAAACAGAGTTAGCAAAGTCACAAAGTAACAAAAGATGCAAAGCAGGGGTGAAGAATCCTGTTCTGGAGTTATAACATCATTATGGGTCATACATAATTATCAATACAGGCAGACAGGTCATGGGTAGGGCAGCCAGCGAGAGGCATTACATGTCTGGCCTGTTATATACCGAATGATGTTTTGGGATTTATTACCCATCCCTGATTTAAAGGATAAACATAAAAATACTGGAGTTGGCCAGCGCTGGTGGCTTACTCCTGTAATTCTAGCTATTCAGGAGGCTGAGGTCTGAGGATGGAAGTCTGAAGTCAGCCCAGGCAGGAAAGTTTGTGAGTTTCATCTCCAATGAACTATCCAGAAAAAGTTGGAAGTGCGGCTCTGGCTCAAGTGGTAGAACTAGCCTTGAGCAAAAAAGCTCAGGGAAAGCACCCAGGCCCTGAGTTCAAGCCCCAAGACTTGCACACATGCATGGGTATACATTCACATGCATGCATGCACGCACACACACACACACACACACACACACACACACACACACACACAAATACTGGAGCTAGGTAAACAAGATGTCACCAAAACTGATGAAGAGGCTGGGGATGGCACCACTGCTTCTGTGCTGGTACGCTCTCTTGCAAAGAGCTTTGTTTTAGAAGGATTAGCAAAAGTGCTAATCCAGGAGAAATCAGGAGAGGTGACAATAGCTGCTGATGCTGTAATTGCTGAACCTGAGCAGCAGCCTCAACCTGTCACAATCCCTGAAGAAACTGCTCAGGTTCCTACAATTTCTGCAAATAGCAACAGTGAAATTGGCAACATCATTTCTGATGCAATGAAAAGGTTGGAAGACAGGCCTCGTCGCTCTCATGCAGGAGGGGATAATACTGAACAATAAATTAGACATTACTGAAGCCATAAAGTTAGCCCAAGGGTATATTTCCCTAGACTCTAGCAATGCATCAAATAGCCAAAAATGTGAATTCCATGTTACCTATGTTCTATTGAGTGAAAAGAATTTTTCTAGCATCCAATCTGTTACACTTGCTATTGAAATTGCCAGAGCTCACTATAAGCCCTTGGCCACGCTTCAAGGTGTAGATCGTTTTCAGAATCTGTGACTGTTAAAATGGGGCTAAATGGAAAAACAATGGCTAATAAAATTGGGACAGTTCCAAAGTCCCAGTTATGAGCTGTGTGTGTGTGTGTGTGTGTGTGTGTGTGTGTGTGTGTGTGTGTGTGTTTGTGCACTCACATATTTATTTAGCCAGTCTTGGGGCTTGAACTCTGGACCTGGGCAATGTCCCTGGGCTTCTTTTGCTCAAAGCTACATTTTAACACTTGAGCCTCAGTGCCACTTCCAGCTTTTTACTGAGTACTTTACTGGAGATAAGAGTCTCATGGCTTTTCTTGCATAGGCTGGCTTCAAACCACAATCCTCAAATCCTAGCCTCCTGAGTAGAGAGGACTGCAGGTATGAGCCACCAGCATCAGATGGTATATTCATTTGTGAATATATTTAAAGTTGGTGTTTAGGTCTTTAGGTAGCAGTCAAAACTCTAGGTTTTGGGAACAATAGAAATAACCAGCTTTGGGCTGGGTAGGTGGCTCAGTGGAGAGAGCGCTTGCATTGCATGCATGAGGCCCTGGATTTGATTCCTCAGCACCACATAAGCAAAAAGAAAAAGATAAAAGCCAGAAGTGGCGCTGTGGCTCAAGTGGTAGAGTGCTAGCCTTGAGCTAAAGAGCTGAGGGACAGCGCTCAGACCTCATGACCGCACACCCCCCCCAAAAAAAGAAATAATCAGCTTGAAGATATGGGTATGGTTTCTGATGGTGCGGTGTTTGGAGCAGAGGGATTCAGCCTAAATCTTGAAAATGTTCAACCTCATGATTTAAGGTGATATCATGCTTTAGAAGGATAAAATGTGACAACGCACAAATGAAAAACAAATTAATCACTGAGCAGTTAGATTTTTACAACCAGTGAAGATGAAAAGGAAAAACTGGATGAAAGTAGCTGTCTGAAGGCTGATGGGCCAAGAACTGTCCAAATGAACAAAAGGAAAGCTACACTTGTCCTTGGTGCTACAAGAATGGCTGAAGAGGTCATTGTGCTCTGCTTTGGGGCATTCCAGCCTCAAACACAGGAATCTTTGGTGAATGAATTTTTAAAAATTGGTAGAGAAGTTATTAGGAGAGCACTAAATTCTTGAAATGACCACAGTTAAGAATGCAGGTGTAAAAGGATCTTTAAAAATTGAGAAAATCCAGCCGAACTTCTCAGAATTTGGCTATGATGTTATGCTGAGAGATTTTATAAATACTGTGGAAAAAGGAGTCACTGATGGAATGAAGATGCTAAGAACTGCTTTATTGGATGTTACAGGATGGCTTCTGTTTACTACTACAGAAACTGAAGTCACAGAAATACCCAAAGAAAGACCCTGAAGTAGGTACAGCATGGGGGGGGGGTGGAGGCGGTAAGAGTGTGGGAGGGGAATAAAGGTAAAGGAGGAGCTAGTATGTTCTAGAATATTACTATTACTAATAAACTATGTCAGGAAGTTCAGAGTAGGGTTCCTCACCAAGAACTTCAGAGGAGTCAGCTAAACAAAAAGACTGAACAAAACATGGGCAAATCATAACCATTTTTTACTGGTTTCAATTGACAATATATAATAGCTGTCATTGTCCATGTCTACAGATGGCTTATTTCACGTTTTAATGAAAAGGACATTTGTACATTCCTGACACTGATGGGAAGAGCCAGGTTATAAACATAATGCTTTAAAACATACAGAATTCAGAGGTTAAATGATCATTTGTTCTTGTTAACTTTGTCCCTGCCAGCAGTTTAACAGCCTGTTTATGTCATTCCAAAAAAAACAAAACAAAAAACTAAAAAACCCCAGTAGGGCATCTTTACTATATTCTGTTAAAATCAGGATTTCAGTGCTTGCTATCTGGGTGGGCTACTCAGAAGCAGCCTTTCTGTGGAGAGAGAGAGTAATTACACACCAAGCAGATGAATACTCAGGTATGAAACAGTCTTTGTGTAACAAAATCTCGTTTAGAATTTCATGATGGGAACACACAGAGATGAGGTGCCTTGCCCACGGTCATGTAGTCAGGAGATGCATGCTGTCTGATTCCAAAGCAAATGTCTTCTCTTTTCTATGTGGGTAGTGGGAACAATGAGGACAAGGCCCATGTTCCTTCCCTGCACATGAGGGCATGAGACTTGGGGCTGAGTCTTCACTGTCCTATTTCTTGGCTGTACCTCGGGCCTGCATTTACCTGAGCTGCCCAGGCTCAGGATGTTCTACATGAGACTACACCACCCCAAGGCTTAGCTGAGGAAGAGGTCTACCAAGTAGAGCACCTGGAAATGCAGAGAATGAGCTGATACCACATGGAGCAAATTCCGCCCTCTCCCCGCCCCCTTCACTGAGGAGGTTTAGCTGTGTGGAGCCAGAAGTGGAGCTGTGGCTCAAATGGTAAGAGTGACAGCCTTGAGAGCCCGTGGAGCTCTGAGTTCAAATCTCAATCACACCAACCAGTGCCCAGCAGCAGTAGATTCCTTACTAGTACAAATAGTTCCACATCATGACAATCATTTCAAGAGGACTCTAGCCATTTAAATCTCTTCCTAGGCCTAGACTCAATCACATTGGTACCCACTGAGCCCTGCTTGCATGTTGATCTTATCCACCCCATCTATCCTTTCTTCCCTGCTTCAGGTACCTGTTCTACCTCCACACCAAACTTCCCTTAAGAGTCTAGACCACAATGGGCACCAGCTTTGTCTGAATTATCTCTAAAACTTTGCTGCACACTCTTCTCCCCTGCTCTCCAACCATTCTATATGAGAATGCCTACTGCCTCCTCACTAAGTTCTTAAACACCATGAAAATAACCACAGAGGATATTCATGTGGCCTCCATGTTTCCTTCTTCCTACCCGATGTTGAACACCGCACCATGCACACAAGAAATGCGCAGCGAATATCCAAGAGACTCTAAACAAGATCTTACCTACAACTGAGTTTTGAGTAAAAATCAGTTCTGCAGCCAGCTTGCCCTGAAGGGTCGGCACTAGAAAGATAGCTAGATGGCTTCCATTATGATTCGTTGGACTGAGGAGCTTGTGAGATTTAACAAAAATGATTGAAACTTTCCCCTGCCACTGCCTTCCCAGCCCACACTCTTTTTTTTGGGTCAGTTGTGGGGGCTTGAACTCTGGGCTTAGGTGCTGTTCCTCAGCTCTCCAGCTCAAGAGCTCTACCACTTGAGCCACAGCACCACTTCCCCCACACTCTTTTTTTAACTGTATTTTTTTTGTCTTTTCTCTTTTGGTACTGGGGATCGAACCCAGGACGTTGCGCTTGCTAGGCAAGCGCTTTGCCACTGAGCTACATCCCAGCCCCCAGCCCACACTCTTAAGGGAAACAAACACACTAAAACCTACCGTGAGTTTCTGTGATTTTGCTCGGTACAAAACATCCTGGTAGTGTTGCGCATGGCCTGGTTCTACATCTTTGATCTTAGCAGTAGGTAACATCAAGGTTTCTAGCGTTTTAAAAGGATTCCCTTCATCTATAGCTTCATTGATGTATCCTAGAGCCACAATTCCTAGAAAATGAAGGAAAAAAAATCCTTTAAGTCACAGTGCAGTATACACTGTTATAACATCTATTGCAATGACTGGTAAAGCTATGGGATATAAGATCAATGTACAAAACCAAATGTTTTTCTACAGACACATAGTGTACAATCTATAAGTGAAGGAAAAATGCTAATAAGTTCCAATTAGAAATACATTTCAATTACAACAAGAATATTTAGGAGTAACCTAACAACTGTAGTATAAGACATATATACTGAAAACCATGGAATACCTTGGGGAGCCAAGAGAATTACAGGTAATCAAAACAAATGGCGAGGTACCTCCTATCTATAACTGAAAATTTAATATTGTAAAAGTGGAAATATTCCTCATATTACCTATATATTCGGCACAATCCTTCTAAAACTCCCGACAGCCTTATTTAAACAAAGAAACAGACAATCTAGCCTTAAAAAAGTCATATGAAAATGCAAAGGCACAAGAATAACGAGTACAGTCATAAAAAGACAAAAGTTGGAGGATTTTTTCCCCATCTTTAAAGTTATTACGAAACAACAGTGAAGATAACTGTATACTATAACACAGGATAAACATACAGGCCAGTGGAACATAATCTGGGGTCTAAAAAGTAATCCTTTCATTTACAGTCAACTGATTTGGGGAGGGGGCAGAGTGCCAACAGTAAAATGAGAACATAAAACAAAATCCAGAAACAATCCTTATAACAAATGGTGCCGAGCCAAACAGTTGTGAGGCTGGATCTCTACATCTAATCATGCTAAAAAATTCTAGCACTTGGGAAGCAGAAGCAGTATCAGGAGTTCGAGGCTAGTCTAATTTAATAGTCACCCCCCCCACATACACAAAAATATCATAGACCAGCTGGGTGCTGGTAGCTCATGTCTGTAATCCTAGCTACTCAGGAGGTTGAGATCTGAGGATCACAGTTCAAAGCCAGCCTAGCCAAGAAAGTCCATGAGACTCGCATCTCCAATAAACCACCAGAAAACCAGAAGTGGCGCGGTAGCTCAAGTGGTAGAGCACTCGCCTTGAGCTGAAGCGCTCAGGACAGCACCCAGGTTCAGAGTTCAAGCCTCATGACTGATCAAAAAAAAAAAAAAGTCAACAGGTGGCTCACACCTCTAATCCTAGCTACCCAGGAGGTGGAGATCTAAGGATGTGGTTCAAACCCAGACTAGGCAGGAATGTCTGAGTCTCTTACCTCCAATTAACTATCAAAAGAAAACACAGAAATGGAGTTATAGCTCAAGTGGTGGAGTACTAGCCTTGAGCAAAAGCTCAGGGACAGTGCCCAGGACCTGAGTTCGAGTTGCAGGACTGGCACAAAAAAAGTCAATAATTAAAAGACAAGGAGTCAAAGAGACACTTCTCTAGTAAAGATATACATATGGTTAGTAAACACATGAAAAATGCTCAACATCATTAGTAATTAGGAAAATATAAGTTCTTATCTCAGCAAGATATCTTGTACCCACTAGGAGAGCTATACTAAAAAACAAGCAATAAAAAGTGTTGTTGAGAAGGTGAAGAATTAAGACCCTTTATTTACTGCTGGTAGCAATGGAAAATGTACAGTCACCTTGAAAAGTTTGGCAGGTTCTTAAAAATATTAAAGATAGAATTACCATGTGAGTCAGCAATTTTACTATCAGATACATTCTCAACTAGAAACACATGCCTGTAGAAAAATTTGTATATGAATGCTTATAGCTATTCACAATAAAAATAGAAATTAATTTCCTTTCAATGCTTATGATATACACAAGTATATATCCATAGTCTATTCTTTGACCTAGAAAGGAACATGAAATGTACATATATATGATACAATGTGAATGAATCTTGAAAATATGCTGGGTGAAAAAAAGACACAAAAGGCCAGTGAACACTTTTAAAAGGTTAATGAGGAATGCTATTTCTATCATGACTAGATATGAATGCCAAAATAAATGGTGAGGGAGCCCCAAAACCCAGAACTGGATGAATATAGCGTAGAGTGGAATATAAAAGAAAACAGAAGTATAGAGATGCTTAGCTACACAAGCTAGTCTTCCTATTACTTTATTTCAGCACTCTGCAAAGGATGCCAAAACATAGTTCAAAATCAAGCAACCCTTTACAGTGTGAAGAGAAGAGTGAATTCCACAAGCTCAGTGCTGTCCTGCAGAGCTTTGTGAATGGTGGAAACATTCAGAGTTGTCTGATACGGTAGCCATTAACAACAAGTTAACTACTGAGCACTTAACATGTGGCTGGTACCTTGGAAGAACTGAACTCAATTTTTTTTTTTACTCAGCTTTAATTAATTTAAACAGTCATATACAGCTGGGAGATGGAAATATCCACAGGGATAGTTATGCATATTTAAGGTTCCAATATGGATAATGGATTTTCACATATTATTTATCTGATCAATAAAATGCTACCTAGAACGCTAATTCCTGAAATATCAAAGAGTGGACAAACCTATCCTCTTGTTTAATTTCTACTGTCTTTTACATGCTAAGTCACCTTAGACTATAGGCTCTAAAATCCAGGAAAGAAAGAGTCAAGCTACTGAGTCTAAGAACTTTATGCTATCTAAGGAATTTTTATTACTATCTCATTATTTAAAAATAAACTATCACCCTGTATTAAAATCAGGAAGCATATTTTATCTATCTATCTATCATCTATCTATCTTATATGTACACACTCATACCTATACATGGTAACAGGAGCTTTTACTTCCTTCTGTAGTATAAATAAACCAGATCTGGTAAAGGTACTAAACACTGACAGGCAAGAAGCTCAGGAGATAAACTATCTTAAGCCCACATCTGTTCCTATTTCTTTTATTCATATTTTCCATCAAAATGATCACAAGTCACTTTAGAAATGTGATATGCCATGAAACAGAGCAAGTACTCCTAAAAGCTTTCAGAAAACATCTCTATCTTGACCTTCAAATTAAGGTAAAAGTTTAGCTAAATACTTTCTGCATAGATGAGCCCATAAATACTTATTAGAAAGGAGAAAGAGACCATCTAAAACTAGAAATTATTCCAGATTCTGACTCACTCATGTCTGAAGTCAAAGCAAAAGTACTTTTCTAATTAAATGATTTCCAAATACCGAGAGAATTTGGAAATATTCAAGTACACTCCACACATGAGACCCTGGCATCTCACCCTATAATATTTACACACTGGAGAGCATAGAACACGTCACATCAGTCCCTAGACATCTTCTTGGGTAGGCTGCTCTAAATACCTTCAAACACCCCATCCAAAAATGTCCTTCATAACACCACATCTGAGAAAGAGAATGTACACACATCCTAACAGCCGATCACCTGGCAATGAGTGCATTCCAGCTGACTTGATTGAAACCACTAGCTGAACTTTTTGGTGTGTTTCCAACAACACCAGTTGCTGAGGTCATAATAAATGACCTCATAGGAGCTGAAAGGCCTACCCATAAGCCCCATGGGCATATCTGCATCACTTTGATGCCAGTAAAGGGGATATCCCCTACAGACACAGGCTGCTGAGCTTCAGGTTCAGCTTATCTTTCAGTCCAGTGAAGGGGACATTCTCTGAGAATTCATATATCAGAAACAGTACATGAAGTTACCTATATAAGCAAGGATATCTGTGGGGCACCGGTGGCTCAAACCTGAAATCCTAGTTATTGAGGTGGCTGAGATCTGAGACTCGTGATCTGAAGCCAGCAGGAAATTTTGTGGAACTCATCTCCAATAAACTACCAAAAAGAAGCCGGAAGTGGAACTGTAGCTAAGGTGGTAGAGCACTAGTCTTGAGCAAAAGAAGCTTAGGAACAGTGCCAATCCTAATATTCAAGTCCCAGGAATAATGATGATGATGATGACAATGATGATAATAATAATAATGATGATAATAAGAGGATACCTTTGAAACTTAAAAAGCAAAATCTCAAATGAGAAAATGTCCCTAGATACATGGTTAAAATAATATTCCTCTATGACTCAATCAGGAAAACGGAACTTTCTCATAAATCAGTAGAAGCCAGGCATCAGTAGCTCACAGTTGTAATCCTAGCTATTCAGGAGGCTGAGATCTGCAGACCACAGTTTGAAGCCAGCCAGGGCAGGAAAACCATGAGACTGGGGCTCTCTCTCTCTCTCCTCTCTTCTCTTCTCACTCTCTCCCTATCTTTTTCTCCTGCAGATCCTGGGGCTTGAACTCAGGGCCTGGACACTGTCCCTGAGCTGCTTTTGCACAAGGCTAGCACTCTTAACAGTTGAGCATCAATGCCACTTCAGGCTTTTTCTGAGTCTAGAAAGAGGACAGGAGGGCAGAGGGGAGGGAACTAAACTCTACAAAAGCATACAGGGCTGTAATTCTCTCCATTGTGCCCTACCCATCCTTAGATAATGAACATCTGCTCTAAGTAGAGCTTTTGTCTTGATTAATACCTGGCAAGCACCACAAGCCCCTAAGCTGTTACAGCAGCAAGCCTGGGCTGGGTAGGGCATCTGATCACAGGCATCTCACACACCCCATGGATGGGAAGCTGTGTGGTTCCCAAAGAGGAAGTTCAACTGTGGATGCAGTCATGATTCTGTCCAGATGTCCATGTTCTAGTAAGTGCATCTACCGCATACTATATCAAGGAAATCCAGCTTTTACAGGAAAGGTTCCAGTGAGATATTTAAAAACAAAAACCTAATTTGAAAAAAACTTTTTTTTGGCAAGGTAATCATAGGAATTAGCAAAGAACTAGAAGAAAATATGCAAACACAATCAACTAATAAAGCCAGGTGCTTTATCTCAACCATGATTCAGCAGATGAAGATCAGACCTGAGTCTTTACCAAAGCATTCAATAAAAATATCTTGGGCTTGTAAGACAAGCTTCTGACTACTCCATCATTAAGCTGAGAGGAATAGAAAAGTCAAAACTGACTGGGCATGGTATATGATGAGAATCAGGTCCCATTTATCTATGTAACCCAGCATGGAAGAATAAGGATTGTGAAGTTGAGGCCAGCCTAAACAAACAAACAGATGGAGGGAAAGAAAACAGAGGGAGGGAGGCAGGGACAGAAAGAGAAGGAAATGGAATGAACAAAAGGAAAGAAGGAAGTGAAAGGAAAGGAAAGAGGAGGAAGGAAAAGAAAGAAGAAAGAAAAAGAAGTAGCAGAAGTTAGAAATTTTGTTATTAAGTCAAAGAGCTTAGAAGCCCCAAAGATGGGGTTGGTTTGTTTTGTATGATGGAAAAGACAGCTTGAAGCCTGAATTTTGTCACTTATGCTACAAAACAGCAATAATTAGCTGCTGAAGTTGTGCAGTTCCACTATCTTTATAAGCAAGAGCAAGTAAGTGGATATTCAGAAAGCATGTTTCAGGGCATATCTTCTTGACCTTGGTCCATTCTCATGCTAGTTGCTCCTAGTTTTAGGAACAAAGCAAATTGTCATGATTCATGCTTATAAAGTTCAATTTTGTATTCATCCCTAAGGTTGGAAAGTATGTCCAGGTTTAGGAAAATGTTTGGATAGGTGGACAAAATTAAATAAAGGTCACCGAAGCCAGGTGCTTAACGAAATCTATGTTGTTGCTGGATGCTGGTGGCTCACGCCTGTAATCCTAGCTATTCAGGAAGCTGAGATCTGAGGATATGGTTTGAGGTCACCCAGTGCAGGAAAGTTTATGAGACTCTCATCTCCAACTAAGCAACAGAAAACCTGAAGTGTTGCTGTGGCTCACAGTGGTAGAATGCTAGACTTGAGTGAAAAAGCTCAGGGACAACGCTCAGGCCCTGAGTTCAAACCCCATCACTGAGGGGGGAAAAAAAGCTATGTTGTCTAGAGAAACCTTTTTTTTTTGACAAGAAAATAATTAGTACTTTTATTTCTGTGTTTTTGTATCTCTGTCTTGTATAAAATTTATAAATAAATGCATGTAATTAAGAGAGGCTTTATATTTCTAGAATTTTTATAATTCTAGAATTTGTACTTGAGGTTGGCCTTGCTAGGCAAGTGCTCTACTTACTTGAACCATACTCCCAATGCTTTTGCCCTGATCAGCCTTGAATCTTGATCCTCTACCTCTGCCTCCCAAGTAGCTGTTATTACAAGTGGTATTATTACCATGCCTGGATATGAGTGTGTTCTTACACGCTTCCATGAACAAAACTTTACAATTAGATATCAAGTTGTTGGCACAGGCCAAAATTTTCTTAAGAGACCCAGAAACACAACAAATCAAAGAAAGGTTGGACAAATGGGATTGCATGAAACTGTAGAGCTTCTGCATGGCAAAGGACATAGCTAGCAAGATCAATAGAAAGCCCATGGATTGGGAGGAGGAAGATCTTCACTAGCCATACAGTGGACAAGGGCCTTGTATCTAAAATATACTTCAAACTCAAAAAATTAAATCCGCCAACAACAAATCCTCAAACAACTGCCCGATTAATAAATGGGCTAAAGACTTAAAGAGAAACTTCTCTGAAGAGGAAAGAAGGATGGCCAATAGACACATGAAGAAATGCTCAACCTCTCTAGCCATAAAAGAAATGTAAATGAAAACAACATTGTGATTCCAACTCACCCCAGTTAGAATGGCTATAATCAAGAACTCTAAGAACAACAGATGCTGGAGGGGACGTGGCCAAAAGAGAACCCTACTGGTGGAGTGTAAACTTGTTCAAC